CGACTGGCGGTAACCTGGCCAATTGCATGACACCTGACCTCGACGAAAATGAGTTCTGGTCGAATATACCCGGGTTGGAAAAGGATATGCTTGGCAAACGTTTTCAATGGCTTGTCTGCAGCGTTGATGATATTGTTGTGGTGATTAAAATATGCATGGGAACGCATGCTGAACGCCGCAGCAGTTTCTGGTGTTCACCGCCGCCTGTTGACTTGCATCCCGCAGCAGGGCGCTGGAAAGCAGACTACACTTTCTGCGGTTTGGCATGTATTTCCGGTACTCGAACATAACGATGCCAAATTGGATTCCTGCAAATACCCGATACGTGAAGGTAACTGCAGGAGGGATCCCCTTCAAAAGTGATGTTTACAATGCCACATGATGAAATAAATTTGGTTTTCATCCACACATTATAATATCCGTATTTAAATAATAAATAAAATTTCCATAATTTAGGTAAACAAAATAACGTTATTTCTAAGCCATTTACATACAACTGATTTGAATTTAGGTCATTATTCATTTATTCTTATTATAGAATTTTGTTTTATTTAAAAATAGAATGGTGAAGCTCTAAATTAAAAAGACAAATCATATGCATAGTTACAAAATTCCTGGTGTACATCCCACAATGCTCGTTACTCATTAGTTTATTTTATAAGTTTGGCATAATTTTTGGGGAAAACTCTGTTTGCCATGCCCCCAAGGTGTCATTCATTGAGGGGAAAGTTTTTATTACCAAAATTCAGAACTGCCACGGGCCACACTCCTCGAGAAGCTTTTCCATGATACTCAACATTTTTCGGCCAGACCCCAATGTATTTCCGTGGATGCGTTCGTGTGGGTTCTCACCCGGAGTGTTTGTTGTTTAACACTTCCGGCTCCTGCTGCTTGTTGCTTTTGTTGCAGTTGCAGTTCTGGATGTCGTTATTGTTGTAGTTGTTCAACAAAAAGCTCGATGGCGCTGTAAAATGTAATCATTGTGGCGTGTAATTAGTTTTTGTGTGTACCATATATAAGTGCAGGCACTAAAGTGCGTGTGTGCATGCATGTCGGTATAAATAAAATTTATTATTGCATTAACGTTCTGAGCTGCCCCTCGCCGTTCCACCCACACACAGAAACGCACTTACACTAGGCAAATGTAAGCACATTTGGTCAACACTGGGTGTTGTTTTTGGGGGGAAAGGTATACATTTAATTGGTTATCGGGGGAGTGGAAGAGGTTGGATATAGAAGTTGTCCAAATAGGCGCTGCACCCTACATATGATATTGTAGAGATGTCTCTATACATATTGTACTGATTTTTAAGCTAAAGTTTAATTATCTTGATTCATTATTCACCATTTTTTAAAAGTAATCGCTAATTTATTTAACAACAAAGAATTTTTTGATTGAATTTTTAAGGTTTTTAGGATTTATTTAGTTGTTTCTTTTTTTATCGACCTCAATCGACTTAAGTTAGTTTTTTTTTCATAGAATCCAATTAGGGAATTGGATGTCCTGTATTTCCACCCCTCGCTATTAAAGCCGCGCTCTTCGTTAATTGCCATGACCGCCCGCCACATGTCGTATTAGTAATAATAATTTACACAATGGAATTTTGGCTCTTGATGCTCCTGGTGTTGTTGCTGCTCAATCAATAGTCAATTTTGAATGCGAGCTGTGCGTGTGTCTGTGCATTTTGATTGGCGGTTGTTTAGGGCCCTGCCCTTAACCCCCCGATGGCCAATTGATTTGTTGGTATCTTTGCTGTCGCCACTCGAATCCCCCTGGGAGCCGGAAACGCCACGCAATTTGTTTGTTCGCACTCAAGCCGCAAACATTGTGAAATTAACTTGTTAGCCATGCAACGGGGTGGGCTAAAACGGAAGGGCATTAGGGGTGGGAGTGGGTGGGTCGGGCAGCGGGCGTGGTTGCCCTGGTAATTGACATTCGATTGGTAATGGGCGGTCGGAAAATAGCGGTAATTGGTTTGCATTTTCCTAAACCATCAGTCGAGAACAGACAGTCATAAATTCACTCAGAAACGTAAATCAAATATAGGTAATGGGAGATTTTATTGTGGTTAATCAGTATCAGCGTTCCAGTTTAAACATTAAAATTATCAGTTAGGTTATGAAATATGATTAGGTATAATAAAATTTAGTAGAAAACTGAAATATATTTTATACGTTTAATCGATTATTAACAAAAGTATGACAAAAATATTAATTTCTAAATTTTTTTTCCCCTTGTAAGTTGGTAACTATAAAACAAAAACCTTTTCAATGATATTAAATTAATTGATAAAAGAGGAGCCTTTGGAATTAAACTCATTCAATGCACACATATAAATTCGCTCAGTTTAACAAATTTTAACTAATACACCAAAGAAAATTCTAAAAATGTTTAATTTTAATTTGGCGAAAGATAATAAAGAACAACTTCCTATGAACAGCAAATCAAAAGGTGTTACGTTGGAATTAAAGAAAATCGATAAATCTCCCGATGAAACATCCAGTTCAGGAAACCCTTCTCCTTTGGTAAAGATCTTGAGATGTCTTAGCTCACTGGAATTGGCACAACCTCCTACTCAACCGAATGAACCAAGGAGTACGAGTCCCAGTATCAGAATGCGTTCAAAGTCAATCCCTCCTTGGAGATCTCTTCCTGCAGCCAGCGCTGGATATAACTATCGAGTAAAGCAATAATCCTGGCATGGAGCAAACAAAATTCAGACAGTTCGAAATCAAAGTTTGCGTGGGTCGCCGCTGCGTGGATCGGCTATCCGGCGGAAGCACTTCCGCATTCCTATTTCCGCACCGACTCTCTCCACTTCTACATCTCTGCCATGGCGACACTAAGTGGCATCCATGCTGCAGCAAGTCCACACCAACCTCATCCTCTCCTGCCTGGTGTCCGCTTGCCTGGCTTGCGGTTTGCGTTCCGAGTTTAAGTGCCGCAAAATCTGCGCGCTTCCAGTGAGAAAAACTCAAATTTATTGTATAAGGTACAAACTTTCGAAAACACATTTTTCAACAGTTTTCATAATAAATCTGTAAAAATTTCTACTTTATAAATATTTCTTTATAATGGAATGTTAAGAAAGTTATTATTTTTTTTAATACCGAAACTTTTAAATAAAATCAAGATATAATAAAAATAAACTAAATTGCATACAAAACTTTTAGTAATATTGATTAGTTGAGTTTCGGCTGTCCTTCACAAAAAAGATAGTTGTTCTTGCCATTGAAAAAAAAAGGTGTCAGGTATTAATATTACCAAGCACAGAAATTGCTTTTAAAGCAACTTAAGAAATATAAATTACAAACTTTATAATTCAGCCCATACTGCAATAAATGTATACTATAAAAATTCTGTACATTTATTATCTGAAATCCTGAATATCTACTGATTTATTTATGGTACATTACAACAGTTAAAACATTTTTCCAAGCGTAGAGAATAGTGGCGCTCAAAGTGTAACAAGCCACGACATCCTGCTCCCTTGGCTGCTCATGGATGGCAACGACTTCATTTGCAGCATCAATCGCAACCTCATCAAGTTGTCTGCCGGCAGCCGCACTCATTACGGCCATGGCATCAGAAGCGGCTGCGTTTAATAAAGCGTTCGTCAGCCGGCTAAAACAACCCAACTTGGGTTGCGAATGGGAATGGGCCTCATACAGAGTGGGGGATTGATGGCGTTATTCTGGGCCCCAGGACGGCTGGGTTTAATTAGCTTTAATGGCTTAATGCAGGCCATAGCCGTTTGGGTCAGACTTCGGTCATAATGGCCAAGAGGTGACACGGGCCACCGCAACCCGACCCGTTGCTAAGTTGTTTCCGATTTGCCACCTCCTCGGTGGCGCCTCACAGTGGAACACCTACCACCTCCCAGGGAGTGCCACTCGAGTATTAATGGAAGCCAACCGCCCCGTGACACTTTAAAGCAATTTTCCTGCCAAACAAATTTCCGGTGAAGCGCAGAGAAAAGTTCCCAGGTCCGACTATTTATTTGCCCCCAATTGCGAGGAGCTCTGCTCCGTAGGAGACCCATTCACACGTAGCACACAACTCCTTTTTCTCGTCCTGCGAGGAAACTTTGGCTCATAACTTCGCATTGAATAAGATGCATATGCAACACGTCCATGCCATTCCCAGCTGCAATGACTCAGGCGCACAGTTCCCAGTTTCGCAGATCCCAGATCCCACATCCTGGTTTTCGGTTTTCGGCTTTCTGTTTCACCTGTCTTTGAATCGAGGCCAGGCAAGTGTTTGTTCGCTCTGGATAAAGGTAGTCAAATGATGGACAGAACAAGAGTTAAGGCAACGCCTTCAGCAGGTTTGTTAAATGGATTAGCAGGGGACTTAAGCAATAGCTTCCTGGTCTCGCTGTAAAGCGTGTACAAAAAAATATATACATAATTAAATAGATACCCTTGCAGTTTCAGTAAAGAAGTAAACAAATTTAAAAGTTCTTAGTATAAAAGAATTTAAAAGGGGAGTCATATTAAATACCATCTTATAATATTAAGAAAGTTTCATTTGTTTATATTTTAAACCATAGATTGTATTCTAGGTCTATCTTATCAAGTAATTATTGTTATTTAATTGTTTATTTATAGGGTATCTAGGCCAGTCACACTTTACGTTTTTCTTTTTCCCAGAACCCCTCGTTGTAAGTGGAAGTTGCAACTTTTTCTTAGCTGTTCGACTTTTGCAGCCAGCACGAATTGCTGTCGGGCATTCAAAGTGAACTACTGCAAAGTAAAAGATGACTTGGGATGAGGAATGAGCTGGATCAGGATGCGAATGCGGGTGACGAAGGAACTCAAAGTTAATTGAAAAGTATTGTTTGCTATTTTGTGTCATTCCATACCCGTCGCTCTGTTGGCATTTTTTATACAAAGTGCACCGGATGATGGTGCTTTACTGTCAATTCATATACTTGCCATTCTTACTAAAGAAGTTATACTTTATCCATTTTATTCAATAAGTAACAAACATATATTGATTTGCAGTTGGTTTTTAAACTTCCATTTATTGTTTTCACACTATGGCTGACTGATTTACACGTTACACATTAAGTTTCTAGTAAAAATTTCATAGCTCATTCAGATTTATTGCCCATTCCTAAACCGTTGGCTGTTAGGGGATTTCGAAAACTTATGTAATGCTTAATTAAAGTGTCCCAAGCTTAATGATATGTGTTTAATGCTGAAAGTCGATGAGGCGAATAACAACAGTAACAAGCTTCCTAAAAACTTGGTCTTTTAGCTTAAATATAAAAGCCTTTGTTCTGCTTAGCAAATTAGTATGTAAAATATGAAAAAAATTAAGGACATTTTCTCTGCCTTTACAACCTACTGATAGCAATAATGATATATTTTAATAAGTCCTGATCTTATCTTTGTGGCCATCCCTGTGTTTCCTATCACGCTATCATAAACGAACTTATCTATAACTAATTAACAATACGTTCATAATTTTTATTAACAGTACGTTATGATGAGAACCTAAAGCAGAGAGACAGCACCTACGCAAATCGTAAAAATAAATAGAACAAGATATTGTGCAAACGAAAATGACTGATAACTTAAACTGGAAAACTACACGGGACGCAGGAAACAGTTGATTTGAGATTTGGTTTGTTACTTAAAACATTACATATTTAGATCAATAAATCTATGAGTATTATTCTGGCTCTCTTCCGGATGCTGGAACTTTGGGACTCAGCTAAGAATAATGGAGTGCGGTTTCTCCTTTCCATTCTTGCTGATCAGTGCATTGCGTCCTGAGGAAAAGGAACTATTATTTAGGATTCGTAATTTATTAAAATTTTTAAAACACACCTTCATTTTCCGTTGTACTGGCCACGCCCATCAGTTTAAGGTTGAGAAGCAGGGCGCCCAGATTAGAGCGATCGTCCAAGTATTTGCTTTCTAAGCGAATCATGCCAAGTTTCTTGGACTTTGTCTGGGTGTGCCAGACGAGAATGTCAGTGCAGTTGTTGCCCCGCGGCTCGATCATATCCATTTTCAGGCCAATGCTGCGCAGAAATAGATCTTCCTCGTAACCGGGCTTGTATGGCATATTTACATAGGGATACTGCGCCATGTACTCCAAGTTCACGGCGAAGCCAGCCATGTCAACGGGCCAGCGCCGACCGGCAACCCAGGAGTCCAGGAAGGCCACCACTTTGCCCTAAAAATTGGAAACTTGGGATTAGATAGCGTTTCATTTCCGAAAGATACCGTGGTAAGTGGAATATTGTTTAATATTTTTTTTGTAGAGGTGTAATAACAATCCGTTCAATTTGGTTTACACAATAACATATAATTTCAATATGCACAAAATCAATCGATGAACTTACTTTGCGAACTACTGGTCCGCTGACCCCATAATCGGCAATCAGGCCGACGGGGAACATTGAAACCCGCTGCGTGTTCCGGATTTCCGAAAACAACTGCAAGTCGTAGGTATTGTCATCGTCTCCAAAATATAGAACTCCATTGGTGAGATTGTGCTGTCGCAGATACTGTAAAGCTGCCCTTCGATTCGCCACGCCTCGTGGGGCGGGCTTTTCATTCCGGAACTTGCTCGGCATCGGGCTCATCAAGTGGGTAAAGGGAATACCTAATGATAATAAATGCTGTAATATTGACATATAGTTTTGGATTGCATAAACAGTTACCGAATCGATTGAGCAGGGTGTCGATGAAGTTGTTGCATTTCTCCTGATCATCAGCTACCAGCCAGTGCAATCGAGGAATATGGAGGAGGGTGTGCGCCAGTCGGGTTAGTTCCGGAATTTGCTCCCGCCGTGGATACGTGGGAGTAACGAAATATATCACGGGCAATTGTCCATAGTCAGATCGTGGCTTATCCTGCAAGAATTGCCGATGATCCTCAAGATTTTCGCTGCAAATGTGCAGGCTTTCGTTGAGTGGCCGGAAGTGTATACTATCTGTGGGTAGACAAAACGAGAGTTACTTGGTTACAAGGGGTCAATTACACTTAAAATTCCTCTATTTGCTGACGATTTTATGATTTAATCAGAATTTTCAATTAGTGAGAATACTGAAGTAGCTGAACTCATTGACCTCCGGCTTTTAGTTAAGGCAGTCAGCGTTTACTACGTGCCTTAGTGTCGAGATGACAATCCGGCGCTTCAAAGCGAAGATAAACAATCTGAGCGGTGTCTCTTAACATTTCAAAAGGTGCTAATCGGAGTCTCTTAAATACTTAGCAAACATAAAAAAATGTACTTCAGCTGTGGAAAAATCGTTTAGATAAAATGCCAGTCACTTCTCAAACAAACTGAAGAGCAGAGCAATTGCGGCTACGAATGTTTGCCGTGTGCCCACATTTCAAAGATCAGTTGTGAAATCGAAGATAACCCAGCTAATTTCCTAATGGGTCAATCGGTGTTGGAAATCTTTCGCCTTATATCAAAGCGTTAATGTGCTTGGATCGACTGCGTGAGCCGATGCCATTAAACGACCTCACCAATAATCCATAACGAAAAGCGAAAAGCACGCAATTGGGGAAATTCGAAAGAGGGGAAGAGCCATTTTTTGATATATTTGACTGATAGCCGGAAACGAACAATGAAAGGCAAATAATAACACAAACAGGACCCCAAAAAACCGTTCCCCATAGGCTCATTGATATCATTAAGAGGGGCAGGCGAAAGTATTCCCGAATAAGATATTAGATATTGACAAAGCAAATATTACCCAAACCCCTAATCGAATGGAAACCAAAATGTGAAAGCCCAAAAGCAAGTGCCACACCACTAAACCGACCTCGATCAAACACAATAAATGTGAATTCAGGTTGGCGGGTATTCTGGATGACGAATATTTAGGTTCACCTTCCCGCAGCCTAATGATTATTAGCGTTCGCTGATATTCAACTGATAGTGGGGCTGCCCCCATCGCACGTGTGGTATTTGCACTCCAGCCATGCCGTCCACTCATTCCCTTTTTAGCCCAGGACAGACTAGCGATGAACCAGGTCATTATCGATGGGGCGCGACACCAATCTGGCAATAATCACACGCTCACGTACGGTACTGCGGTTAATTATGGCTCATATCTCGATGTAGAACAGTGCCAACGTTCTGATTACGGACATTTGAGATTTCCCCAGACACCTGATCTACGAACGTTAGTCACAAATTGTTTTACGGTTCGTTCTTATCGTATTCATTCACACTTTTGTTGTACACTGAAACCTTAAAGATTTGCCTATTGGGTTTCCCGTCTATTCAATTAAAAGGTGAATAAGCATACAATTACTTACACAACCCGGAATTTCCCAATTGAAGTATTCAAAGATTATGTATGATAGCATCTTTCACATTTTTAGCCTTCAATAAGTATTTTGTAATACTAATAAAAGTTATTAAGGCAACTTTTAAAGATTATGTTATCATGTCTTTTTTTACTATTCTAATAAATAATATGTGAGAACTAAAAAAAATCAGGTTAGTTTTTATTAATTTGAAAAACGTGTATATAAGAAATATATAGATAAGGCACATAACCATTCATTGATTTATTTTTGTCCGCAGCTGGGTCACAGCGAAGTTTATAAAATACCACCAACTAAAAATTTAAAACCTATGATTAAGCACAGCGTACGCCACTGATAAGAGTGCTTATCAAATTGGATAAGGCTTTCAATTCCTACGTACATATTTCTCAAGATGATAGCTTATAAATCGCACATCGCACTCAAGATAAGATAAGCTGTTGCAATATTTATGTCAAACATTTGCATAACTCTTATCTTCCGATTTCTTTTAGCAGTAAAGTTTTAATTTGTTTGCATTGCTACCTGAAACATCTGTTGCATTCAAATAGCGATAAAGAATTCGATTTTATACATCAGAGCAGCCGACGCATCGATTGAAATCAAAATTTGATTCGACATGTGTTTTCCATTCTGTTGAATTGGATTTTACGGAATGCATTTTGAACGACTTTTGGATTTAAAGGGGCCCATTCGCAAATTGTAAATATTTGTGTAGACAATTTGATGGCAATTTATTTTCAGGGTAGCATGCTCCAAAAGTGAATAGCCAAATGTACTTAGAAAAACCCACCGAAATCGAGCAACAAAAGCTGGGTGAATCGAGGAGAGGGAGCATGACAAACACTCGACACGCGCTCTTAAAAATATACTGAAATCGGCTCGAAACAGATGAGCTGAATAAAAGTGCATGAATACTAGACGAATTATAAATGTATTTTTATTCAGGTCTGGCACCAGAAAAAAATCAAAGCGATTTTCAGATTTAAACGTAGATTCGTCTTCCCCTCTTCAAGTTGATAATATTCTGTGAATGTGTGAATTAAACTCACAAATGAGAGGCAATCGAGCCTGTCTATCTCATAAAAGCCTCCTAAAAGCATTGCTTTCTAGTGCTGGCACATGTGAAATCTCGAGTCTACACTAAGCGCTTGATATGGTGGGGAAATGTGCAATTAGACAATTGGTGCCACTCAAATCACACACTGAACTCGGAAATTATTTGCGTACTTCGACTGAAAATCACATGTCAGTAGAATAATATAAATATATCAGATTTTTTCCTAATCTAATTGCGTAATCTTTTAAGCCTGATCGTTTGAATAGCCATCAGCTTTTACTTCAAAGCTTAAATGATCACCTCATGAGATATTGGCCTTCAGTCTTTATTGTCCCGCTTTCGTTCTAAAAAACCAGCTGGTAGATTAGCTAATAAATAACAAGAATAGAAAACTATTCAATCGCATTATGTTCATCTAACTAGTTTCCACTTGTCAAAGTAGACCTATAAAATGATAAGATAAGATGAGTTGGATCATAGTATATCGCCTTAAAGCTTTCATAGTGACCAATAAAGTTTACACCCTTGTAGGGGTAGTCCAAGAAAAAGCCAAGTAAACTAGAAAATTGACCTTGCACGGGCTTTCCTTCAGGGCTATAAAAACCAAGCAACTGGCGAAGCAATGTAATTCCCGCTACGGGCAGAGTGGGTGGCTATCGATGCCGTGAATACATTCATACCGACATCGCGTTTGGAGAAGACAATAGTTACAAAATAGATCCAATTACGGTTGAATAATAAAACAGCCAGCTGACTAACCAGTAGCCAAAGTCGGAACGGCAACTGTAGCGCGTTACAAGCTTCAATCGCCGCAACCAATTACTCGGAAATTGGGTTGTGCGGTCACAGCGAATTACAAATCCTTTTTGTGAAAGCTTGCTTAATAAAAGCGATTGTCTAAGATTGAAAAAACCTTTTTTAAGTTTTGTTACTTCCGTTGAAGTCTCGACTTTAAATGTTTTTTTTATCATTTCAACATTGCAAAGTTTTTATATCAAAGTAGTTCTGGTAAAACCAGCCCCTATATTGCCTGTCAATGATTATAGAACGTGGGACCAAACTGATTAATATGGCAAAATTTGACGAGTAAAAAATATAAAATAAATTATCACCATATTAGAAACTGGATGTTGATTTTTTTTTTGTGTTGCGTTGGCTGAACTTAAGACGATAACATTCTTTACTGAATTCACGTTATTTACTGACTAAGGCTTAAAAAACCAATTTTTGTGGTTTAGTTTAATGAATATAGTTTTTTGGTTTATTAAAGCACCACCTAACTAAAGTACCAACGTTCCCCAGTGTAGGGTGACCTGAGCTTTGATTGGCAGTGGGCCAAATGAAAAGTGAAAGTGTTGGCAGAGCGGCGAACTCACTTTCGGCCAGCAGTCGTGAAAATGCACTTTGCACTGAGCTCCCTATGGGATCAACTTTACGAAAGAGCGTGACTCACGGAGTTTTGAATTAAAACGATGCCTTCTTCGGAATTTCTTCTTGACTTTTGGCAGTTCTATCTTAAACTCGGATTCATAGAGCTCGGTTTCTTGAGTAATCTCTGTAGTGTTCCCTTCATAATTCTCCACAAATTCTTGAAGTCTTGAAGCGTCAAAATCTGCGGGTTGGGTTTCCATTAACTGGACCTGCTGCTTACCTAATCCGTGGTGCGATTCTTCCTCCGAGTCCTCGGTACTGCCGCCCAGTCCCAGGGCGCTTCGGGTTTCCCCGCTGAGGGTGAGGTAGCAGAAGGCGATGAAGCACAGGGCCCCGCCCACCAGGGGCAGGAGGCAGCGACGCCGCCCCACTCCCCCCTTCCGCACCATGGAGCTTGGGGCGCTGGCAGTGGCCGTGCAACGCGGATGGTGGCTCCTCCGTTCGATGTCCTCGTTATCCTCGTCGGATGTCTGCGGCTCGAGTGCCTGGTAGTGGGCACTAGACATTTTTTATATATTTTGGGATCTGCTGTCGGATGGGCATTCGGCTGGGGTGGTGGTGGTGGCGGAGGATGTGGTGCTGGATGTTGTGGCTGTGCTGCAGCAGATGCATGCCCCAGCCATTGGTTCCTCCTGGTTGTACTTTGTGCCAACTTATACAACTTTCGGCTGAGGCGACCCGAAAATTATGCAAATTCCCCCGACATTTCTGCCTTTTGGGCGCTTTGCTTTATTTCCGCGACTCGGGTGCCCCGCTAGTTGCTATAAAAAACCCAAGCAAAGGCGAACTTGTGAGGCGAATTGCGAATCGGAAGCACTCAAAACAAGACGACACACTCAAAAATCACAGAAAATGTTTCTTATATCAGACCGTCACCCGCGCGCGTTGCTCTCTCTCTCTTCCGCACGCTGGTTTATTGTTTTTTGTGCCGCCGCGGGATTGCCTGTTGTTGTTTCGATTTCGATGAGAATGACAATACTGCTTATAAAAAAATCGTGCAATTCGCAGGCTAGCGAAACCAGAGAGCATAAGGCTGTCTCGTCGGTCCGTCAGTTCGTTGACAATGCTTACAATAGGTGATATGGTGTTTTCGAGTAAGTGCGAAAGAAACAGCAATAGGGTTTGTTGTTTAACTCTTATGTAGTGCATGGGGTTCAGAGTCGCCTGTCACATAACAATGAGGTTATATTTTTGATTTTTTTGCCAGAACTGAACTCCAGAATTAGCTTTCCAAATATTTGCCTTCCGAACCATTATGATATACTTAGAATTTCTACGCCTTGCACGTGATTGCTGCAATAACTGAACAAAGTAAGTTTTCTGTTGCACAAAAGGGTTAATGTTTAAACGCAACGGACTAAACCTAAAAGATTTGGCACCCGATGAGACCAATTTAACCATGCGCAAGCCAGTCAAAATGGAGCGTCAGAGAGAGAGTGCTCACCCACCACCACAGCTGATGCAGGGTTGCATTGCGGTTCGGGGCCCGGCTAGGTACAGTGCTACCTACCATTAAACTTCCACAAGTTGTTAGTTTTTGAAATGCTTCGATGTTCCCTTAAAAACCTTAGGATTTCTTCACTCATGATTGATTATTTTAATATATTTTAGTTTTTCATGTTTTATGACAGTTATCACTTTTGATTTATACTCACAAAACAGGAAACAAAATTGAGTGATTGTAACACTCTTCGAGACTTATATCGTATTAACTACTATTACTGTCATTTCCTCAACAAATCAACTTTTTAAAAATGAAAAAAGGAAAAATAGTTTTTCTTAATTTATAGCTTACTAAAATAATTTTGTTAAATTAGTTTGACAGTTTAAAAATTTTTTAGATAAGAGAATTTAGGATTGATTAAATTTAAGATTGTGTTGTAAATAAGGTTATTTCAGGTCTGATTCATTTAATTTCCTATAAAAATTGGATGAGACTAAAACATTTTTTAAATGAGTCACAACATAAACTCTAACAAACATTGACCAAATGTTTCTAAATGATCTAGTCTGGACTAGATTTTAATTCCGGAACTACAACTTTGAGCACCCCCACTATTTGCCTGTCTACTGTTGAAGTTCCTGCCATATCTTATCTAATCGGCAGTTAGCCGATTTTAATCGTTATTACTTAACCACAGCGGGCTTTGTCTGGCTGTTTACGGCTACTGTTGTTTGACTTGGCTTCCATTTTACCATTTGGTTTTCACTTTCTCAAGCAACCCTCTCCATCTCCCCCTTAGAAATTTCGATCAAAGCTGATCTATTATAAAAGACAAATATGTATTACATTTATATTTTAGCGTTTACTCTTTGACAACGGGCTACAATTGCGTTTGTTTAACTTTTTCAATACAAAAATGAACAATCATTGTGTCTTTTATTGTTTTGTTAATTAAGCAAATTTTACGATTAAAAGCCACTTGGTTTCTCACTATTGTTGCGGTTCCAGCTGCTGCCAAACTAACCCTTTACTTGGTCAACTGCACTGCAGTTTCGAACAATTTGGGCCAGAGTGGAACAGCAGTAACGGAGCAAACACTGCACTTATGGAATAATTAACTAAATGTTATGAAGAAAACTCATAGGTGGATTGAAGGGGACAGCTGGACGTTGAGGTCGTGTCTCCCTAGATGTTGGCCTTGATGACATCCTCCAGACGCGAGGCGTTGGCTCCGGCGAACTCCTCGACCTTAACGCCGTTCTTGAGGAACACAAAGGTGGGCATGCTGGAGATGTTGTATTCCATTGCGATTTCTTCGCAGAGGTCCACATCAACCTGTTGAAGAAAAAGGGATTAGTAAGAATTCCGTCTTGAATTTCAAAGAGTTTAATACAAATCTCAAATAATTGTGATTTAACAGAGTCCTTAAAATTTTGCAATCATACACAATTAAAATATGAAATATTAAACACACAAAGCAAATAATTTGAATATTAATTGTTCGTTTAAAAAAGGTATTGATTGATGAAAACATACATAACTGTTTCATTAATTCAATAATTATTACTGCAGGGCATTTCTTTTAGAATGAAAATTATTTTAACAAATTTATCATGATACAAAAATTACAGCATTAGGACCGCCCTTTGGGGATAGCAATTATTTCGAGATTGATTAGATTAGATTAGAGGAACCCACCTTCAGGACGACGACGCTGTCGGCGTACTGCGTGGACAGCTCAGCCAACTTGGGGGAGATCATCTTGCAGGGTCCGCACCAGGTGGCAAAGAAGTCCAGAACCACCAACTTGCCAGCGGCCTTGGTCAGTTGTCCATCGAGGTCAGCCTGCAAAAGGGAAACCAAACCACAAATTAGAACTATCTTTTTGTAAGATCAATACACGTTAATTCTATTGGTTTTTCTTTCCGATGACCCATTTCAACTCCTGTTCCCACCGGAGTATTTTATGATTCGGGGTTATCAAACTATGATCCGATGTAGTTGTAGATGTTACAGGGGAAAACCTTCCATTATCTCGAACATGTGCGCGATAAGGCGATTTCGTGCCGCCACAATGTTGTCAGAAATTACCAAAGTTGCCAAGTTGTAATCAGACCCAGTAATCATCGATTGACGGGTTGAATATTCGTGCCCATGAACCCTGCAAATACTTTCTGAATTTCGAAATATTGCATTTCATTTTCTGTATTTGACCGAGTGAACAACAAATCAATAATTCCTGAATTTCGAAATTATATGTATGCTCAAAGGTGTGGTTGTGGGCGATTTGTGGCCCCTTCCGCCTACCCAGTGCCCCGCCCATGACACGTTTTCCCAGTGACCTTTAATTAATTGCTGGCGATGGCAATCGCAGAACACATGCAAAGAAATGGCTCTAATGAAATTGTAGATTTCCAATGGAATGGGCAACCTGTTTAATGGAATTTGCATAAGTAAGTCTCCCCTAATACAAACAAAAAAAAAGAAACAACTTGTTTCATTATATTAAACATTTTGGTCAAGCTTAGATCATTTCCAGTTAGGAGACAAACATCATGGGATAATTAAATGATTCATGGATCTTGGTGACTGTCAAAGACTATTTATTACAATTATGACTCAATCGAATATTTCCTATTTCATAATAATAAGATTCCTTCCTTCTCGGCAAAAAATGTTTCATATTTGGAAACTAAATAAATAAAAGTTTTAAAACAAGGTAATCAAAATAGAATGTTCTCGTAGTTTGAAATGGTAAATGATAAGCGTTTATTTCAATTCGAGTCATTTTTTAATGTGGTATGCTGTATAAAATTAGACCGCAAGGGGCAATGTTTAAGAGTGTTCTATATATACAAGCGTCTATTGGGAAATAAAATAATCAGAAACGCTTAAGTATTTACTTTTGTGTATTCCTTGACGTAGTTTTTGTATTTATGAAGAGTTGAACACGACCGGTTTGTCACCCCCGAGAACTCTTCCCCCCCTCTGAGACCACTTTTTATTCTTGATTGTGCCGATTTTCTTATGGCGCGCAACTTTTGAGAGGTGAATATGGAAACTATTCTAACCAACAAACCAAGCCGCGACCACGATAATAATTTGCAAACTCATGTCAGACGCACACACAGATAGCGCTATATACCTAGTCTATATAGTATAGGTTGGCACTGTGTCAGATTAGTGAATGAAGCCGTGGGTATTTAAAAAATTCGGTAGGCGTCGAAACACGCTCAGCGGTCCATAGAAGATGGTGATATCATTTCGTCATACGAACTTTCTAGTCTGGATTTCGCTTTCTCGATTCAACCACGGAACGTGAGTTCTATTCGTTTCGAGGCGTATGGCGAATAGCGTTGAAAATCCAATCACTCAAAGCAAGTGGGTAATTGGAATTCTGTTACCAATGCCATACTTTCATTGCCCGGAGCGAATAAAAAAATGTACAAATGAAATCAGAGGGTCAAAGGTGGTTATAATTGGGTTACCCAACAGATGACAACACAGATCCGGATGCGATTCAAATGACTCACCTTATCTTTAACTTGGTACACCATGTTGGATGGGAGTTTTGGATTCGGAACCGGTAGAAACGTACAAAAAATGTTATTTAACTAGCACTCTGGCAGCTATTTTACCACGCAGCAATTTATTTTTCAAATAATTGAGAAGCGCTTCCTTTTATAGATTTTTTCTCTCTCTCTGCCGGCGAGCATGGTGGAATAAAAATAAGGTAGTCTCGTCGGGTCCGCCACCCCCTTAACGGCACTATAATGAGTCCGAGTGAAAGGGTAGTTTCTAATAAGTTCGAAAGAAACAGCGATATAGCTTTTTTTAACCCTTAGGCGGTGCATGGGGTTTAAAATGACCTGATTTTTGACAATACGTGAGAAAACCACCGGAAGTTTAACGAACTAAGCTCGAATACATACAATTTTTCGTTCGCTCACAGATATTTTAAATTGGACAACGTTTGCTCAAACGGTTAAACCGATAATCAAAAGAGCCACGCGAACGTTAAGGGACTGAATCTGAACGTTTCGGTCTCTCTCTCATTCTCTCTCTCTGTCTCTGCCGGCGAGTTTGGCCGTGGTGAAGTTGTATAAACAACACCGGGTGGGTTGATCGAAAAGCATCTCTGCGGTTTTTCTTTTCGATTACGGCAGAGGGCGCTGATCACAAACCGTTAAAATTTACATTGTAAATAAAATGCAACATTTTGACGTCGATATTCAACACATATCTCTGCATCTGTGGTGAGAGTTTTTATTTTCTTATCATGACGATTATACGAAATGCCGCTCTGCGATGTTTTGATCAGTGATCGGTAGGGGTCGCTTCAAAAACCTTCAAGAAAGATCTGTAAGAAGACGTTCTGAAAATACTTAAATTTATCAAAACATATTTTTAGATAACCGTGTATATCTCTAGACTGACTTTCCATTTTTTAATATAGATAGTTAACCGCTGATAAATTAATAAATCATTTTACCATGATTTTCCAGTTAATGTATTTAAATGTAATCAAACCTTCAATCTTTACAAATCAACATATTTTCATAATTTATTTGCCGAGAAAAACAAGGTTTAACACTACGCGTACAGATTAAATCAAGAAATTAAGATTTCATAACTTATCCTAGTGTATGCACTATTCTTAGCTATCGACTATGAGTAATGCTCCGGCATCCGGAATCGTTAAGTACTATTCAATGGGTGACCGATGGGGCCAGTGCTGTTGTCGCCGTCGAGTGGTGCAAATGGTGGTGGTGGTGATGGTGGTACGTCAGCGTGGGCGGCGGTGGCGGCGGAGGCGGTGGGTGACCGGGGGGCGGGGCCACTGCCGTTACACTGGATCCTCCGGCAGTTGCGAAACCTCCCGCTACCGCCATCTGTTGTTCGTAGCTGGAGTAGTGATCGTAGTAGCTGCCGTATCCGGTTTCCAGGCTATTTCCGGTTGCCGAATTTCCCGGAGTCGTTGTGGTTGCGGTGTCGAAGTAGCTTACTCCGTTGTAACCACTTCCGCTCTCGTAGTAGTGGTGCCCCGCGGCCTGATTTCCCCCGAATTGTTGGTGGGTCTGCTGGTGGTGCTGTGGGTGGTGGTGGTGCTGCTGCATCTCGTACTCCGTTTTGGGACTGTAGTAATACTCGTAGTTGTCCTCCACATACGGCGTTGTCTCCACGGTGGCATTGTACTTTATGGTGGGTGGTAGACCCGATCCCGGTTCACCCTTGCAGCTGATCTCCTCCTGATTTCCGCCGCCCAAGTGCTTGATCTGCGAGTAGTTGATGAACTCTGGCTCCGGAGTGGCCAACTGCGGACTGGACTCGTAGGCGAGTGCCTGGCACTGGGTGTGTCCATGTACTGGCGCCCCCATTCCGTAGGTGTTTCCACCGGAGGATTGCTGATACGCGGCCAGTTCCGAGATGCTGCAGGTGTACGGCAAACTGGGAGATTTACTCGGAGCCGCCGTTGCCGCCGCCGGAGTCGCATGGTAAATGGGATAGTTGTAGGTGATGTGCTGGTGGTTCACAGTAAAAACATTCGCAGCGGTTTCACAGGGCGCCGAGGACTCGGATCCACTGAGTGGCCAGGAGTTGGTGCCGTAGTTCGAGGATTGCGACATTTGGGCGCTTCTCACTGCGGTGGTGTCCTCCAGGTAGCTACAGGTGCAGTGGCTGTACGTGGTGCACTTGCCACAAGCTAGAAAAAAAACCAAAGATTTTGTAGTAGAAATCGTATATTTAAAACTCCAATTTCTTCTCAAGTCTCTCCACAACAATTGAAAGTTCAATTTCCAATATAAAGTAATTTTACCAATTGTTAAGTTTTAAGTTCCGTTTAAATTTCAATTTAAAGTTTGATTCAAGAATTTTTTTAAACTGTTATTTCTTATTTATCAACCCACCGTTGTACTGATATATATCCAATGCGGAGTGACTCAATGGATTGCTGGCAGCAGGACGCTTGAGTACCTTGCTCATTAAACTTTGTTGTTGCTGCTGTCAAAAATGGTTTATAAATTTGAAGTACTTTTCATATTTCTGTAATAAAACTCACCTTCACCTGCTTAACTAGACCCGCAATGACGGACTTCTTTCCAACTGCACCATTGACTCCCTTTCCTCCAAGGGGAACCCGTCCAAAAGCCCTCTTCGAAACACTAGAGTTCTTTGGATCCGGACGCAGGTGATCGTGGACTCCTTTGGCCTGGAAGAAGATGGCATTCCCGGAATGCCGCCAGAAGTGGGTCACCGGATAACCGCAGTGACCGCGACATGGCTTGATTTCCAGTCTTCCGCCTCGACAACTTTTATTGGGACAGGCTTTGCCTTCCTGTTTCCGCCGGGCTTTGTCGCAAATCGCCGGACGCAGATTGATCTTGGATCCGTTGGGAAGGGTGCAGTGCTGGGAGCAGACCAGGACACCCAGGCAGCTCTTCTTCAGGATGTTCACATTGTGGTTGTTGGTATTCCTCATGGCCCAGCCGGAAATGTGCTTCTTGGCCTCCTCATTGTGAAGGGAGTATATGTGCCGCACATGGCCATCGCTCCACTCGTTGAACTCGTCGAATTCCTGATCGGGAACATGTGGCACAATCGCATCATTGATGTCCCATTCCCGCTTCCCCTTCCCCGCCGACGCCGCCGGCATGGCCATGGATCCACCTGCCTGTTGGTGACCCGGACTCGGATTGTGACCCGGATTCGCACTCTGACTCTGCGGCTGGGCGAACTGGGCGAGCTGAGAATGATCGGGCTGATGAGTGAGCAGTTGCTGTGACTTGAAGGTGTAGCCATTTCTGAAAAGGATAAGTTATACATTTTATATAAGACTCTGGTTTCTATATTTTTAGTACTAAGAGTACTACTTTATTTCTATAATCTGAAAAGATTTTTTTAATCCCATATAGTAGTTTTTATATTTTTTATGCTGCCGTAAAGATTAACTTTTTTATCACCTACAATTGTACATTTTTTTTTTTAAGCCTAAGAAATCTCCCATTGTATTTAAAAGAGCAGTTTTACTATCCTATCTAAGTCTTACTATGAAAGAGTTTCAATATATCATGTTTGTAAAAAATAAATTGTATTGAACGAACCGTTGTCTTTAATATAAATACTGTTCTTAAAAAGTCTGGAAAAAGATTATATATGTAATAAAATCTTCCATTAACCATTTGAGAACTAGTTAACAGCTTTGGTGTAATTCACTTTTATCCAATTTGCTGAGTCACAAATTGATCAGCAATTGAAGCACTTTATGTTACCCCTTTTAACTACAAGAATAAAACGTTAAATGAACCATTTAACTCCGACTTAACTGCCTAAGCTTAAGCATCGTTTAAGGAAATTAAAGTCCTATCTTTATGGCGCCCTAAATAGTTCACCAGAGGGTCAGAACAGCATGTCAATCAAATGAAACGTTTCTGCGGTTTATGGGCACCATGAAACGCATAACTCTTTGGGCCCAGTTTAAAGGGCTGGTACCGTTAGCGCCCAAATCTTCTTCATGCGGTAATCCAAGCTGGTCAGAATCGTAATTCGAAATTCGAGCGCCGGTTGCAAAGGCGGGGAAACAAATTAAATCGTGAGTCAGCATGGAATCGCTAGACTCGTTGGAGGTTTCTCGCCTCTGAGATTCTCCATGTGTGGGAGTTATTAGAGCCGCGATCTGCAATTAGCCATAAATTTGTTTGGGCCGAGTTCTCGGTTGATCGGGTCCCCTGAGCGTTTTTATGTGTACTTGGAAGTCAGCAGGTTGCTCGCTCTCAAAAACCGACCATCCAATACCTGAAGATGGGATCGCTTGGTGGTCCCTGGGTTCCCCCCGATTGAACCTGTTCGTGGTTAGTGATTCGCTTTGTTTTGGGTCCGTAAATTGACTGCTCGACACTTCGGGGCGCTCGTTAGTCGGGCTTATCTGATGCTGATAGCGTCTCACTTCGTTCCCGATCTCTCTGTCCATTTTGGAGGGTCTCTGTCCCCGGTCTCATAATAAGTTTGTCACCTAGAAAATATGTCTCTATAATTTCGGACGGGGGGATGGGGTATCAGCTCTTTGACCCTTTCACTCGAGCGCCGCACCGCCTACGAATGTGTGTGGTCCGCCGGGGTTCACGATCCCAAACACACCCCGCGGCTCTTTGGAGCGGACTGGTCTGGATTGGAGCGGAGTGGAGTGGATGTGCCATTAACTAAGCTGTGGAACATGCCCAGCGTGATAATAAAGCGTTTGAAATCATTTACATTTTACCCGGCCCTCCCCCGCGATCTCCTTAGCGTTTGATTTGTGGCCCGTTCCTCATCTCAGATTGATCTGAGGTGTTGGGCAGCTCAACACTTACGCAGACGCTTCGAATCACCGCGCGTCGATTTAAAGTCAATGGTTTCTGATTCGAAATAATTATAAGACTTTGTGTCGAGTAGTCTGTGATTCATCATGTTGATGGAAATTATTTTTGTTTGGCATTTTGAGCTATTTTCACAGTTAGTGATTTATTATAAACCGTTTAGGAAAATTTTCACAATCTTGTCAGGTTCGCCAAAATCTTAATTTAAAAAGCAATTTAAACAAATTATGAAATAAAACTGAAACTCCTTCAAATAGTTTTTTAGAAAACCTAAGAGAATGGAGGATAAGGATTTGCCTAAGTGGTATTCTCATCCTAACAAGTTTTATGTTGATATTTTCATCTTAAAAAATTTTAATTTAAATGCATTTGACGGAAGTAGGTACTATACAAATTGATTTATAATTGGTAAGAATTTAGAGATTCCAAGAAGATGATTTACAATAGATTACCCCAAATTATAAAATAATGTGTTCTTATAATTGTTTAAATTTAATTGCTTTTTGTGTTATCCCTGAAAGGATGCTTTGCGGAACTTACATAACAACCATATTCCAAGTGACTCAGCTGCTTTAATCCAGATATTAGGCGTTCTAATAAATATATCCAATAAACTTTTATCTGGGCTCTTAGATGAGTTTTCCGCGATTCGAGGGCGCTTCGCACTGGCAACACTTGGGCATTGTAATCCAATTAGGCGGCCGGGCACTTGCAACTCGCGGATAGCCGTCGCTAGTTGAAGGTTTATTTTCTCGAACGAAATTGCGCACGCGACGCCGACGACAACCGGAGACAACGGTGAGAATGACGACCTTTTCACTGGACCCCAAAAAACCTGCCAGCGAGCGAACGAGCGATTTGTGTGTGCTGCAGGGCGGGATGTGCGCGCGTATCTGGCAGATAGGGAAAAACAAAAGAGCAGCGGCAGCAGCAGACAAAAACAAACTTCGGCGAGCGAGTGGTGCCAAGTTTTGTCAACAAAGGAATTGGTATATTATGGCTCTGGCTCTGGCTCCACCTACAAAAACCAACAGAATGCTAAAGGAAAGAGGAGAAGAAGGGGGCGGAGGGGCTGCGGGGGAGCGGGGGCAGCCACCACCCGCATAATTTGCCAAAAACTCCACGCAGCCACGAAGAGGAGCCGTCGCAGCTGCCAGAGTATGAAAACGTATCCGTCAGATACATTGCCTTCCAGCCAGCAGTTGCTTCCAGTCGCTCCTCGCTTCCCATTGGTCGGATAAACTCACACACACAGCGCACACTCATTCCATTGCATCGTGGGTTTCGCTCTCTTTCAAGAGTTTTTGAAGTTCTGGAGATGGAGGAATTTCGGAACAGGGGGCTATGTAGATATGTAGATACACATGTGTGTGTGTGTGTGTGCGCACTCGATAAGCATCACTGAAATTTAATTACTTATTATGCCGCTTATCAGTCCCCATTGTTCTGCTTAAGGATATGGCCAACAAAAAGCAATGGAAACCTTGAAGAGAGAACATAGATATTCAAGGGTTTATCGTTTGGGAATTTTTGGCAGATTAGTGGGATGATTAATGGACTATGCTGCTTAACATGTACATAAAACATTACAGATTACATTTTATTTCTTGCGCTTAGAAGATTTGTTATAAGGGAATTTGTATACAACTTTTAAGTAAGCTATAAAAACAAAACAAATCAAATTTAAAATAATAAAAATATTTCACTTATATTGGCATTAAATAAATAAAATTTCTTAAGCCATAGACATACTGAATTCTTTTACTTTTAATATATAGCTTTTGCATCAAGTTTGAAAACAACATGTACCTGCTCTTTTAATGTGTTTTGAAATTTCTACAATGCTGATGGCTACAATGAAAAGAAACTGTTAAAATGGAACATGAGCTTGAGTTTCTTCTAGTTCTCTCCCTCTAAATGCACTTTCCTTTGGTCATTGACTTAAAGAGAAGTTAAGTTTATTAGGAGCCGCAACACGAGAATACACAAGTGGCAACAATATCAGGGCCAGATCAGCCAGAGGGTGAACTCTTTTGGGGGAAGGGGGTACTTTTCAGCCTAATGCTTGCTGCGTCTTTTGTTTTCACCTGATCAGCCCGCATCGCCATTTGGGCCAAAGTTACAGGCCACAAAAATAAAATACAATTTATGCGTCCACTTGGTAGCGCACACACACACACACACACAAACAATTAACAGACCAAGAAGAGCAATTCAACAGGGAGAGAAAAAGAAATGGAGGAGCAAATAGGCGTTAAAGTGAAAATTGAAAATGCCGTTGACAGGAAATGTAAATGGTAACAAAAGTGGCAGCGACCAGTGGCAACTGTTGCTCAGCGACTGTGACTCGTAATTAAAAGGGGCACCAAAGGGGAATACCTAAATGTTTTAAGCCCAAAACTCTGGTCAGATATATAGGGGATTGGCCCTAAAGACGCGTAACTACGCGGACTACGCGAACGACCTGGAAATGGCTGCTGTTGTCGCTTTAACGCTCCACGGCAAATGATACGGGTGACAAATACATTTACCATCAACGTACTACCCAAAGTGGTAGAAATATTCCCATTTTACCATTTTACCAACTAGCTAAACAGTTTCTCCCCCTAAGTTTGTATCTATTGCGATCCGGCTTATCTGTCTGGCTGTGGCAGCTGCTTGGGGTTTTCGCAATTAATTGCCCAACATTATTTTATAAGCATGCGTAGTTTAATGTAGGTACACACACCCGGTGTGGTCCCGCCTCGGAGTTATAGATCCAGAGTCACGCTGCGATCGGGCGATACTCTAATGAGCGCGTGCTCCGAGAGCGCCAAGCTCCAGCTGTTCCAAGAAGGGCCTGTCATTGGGGTCTCCAGTTCGGGGTCTCCATTGTGCTTGGAAACATTCCGTAATTTGGCTTTTGGCGCATCAAATTAATCATCGATCTGTTAAAATAAATAAAAACTGGTGTACTTTGTAATGGATTTCCGAGCAGTCTGCGCGCCGAGCTTTCGACCTAAAAAATAATAATAATTAATTTGGCGGGGTGCACTAAAAGAAAAGATTTGAAAGATGTCAAGAATGGTAAAAGGGATTTTAACACATTCGGTAAAATTCTAAAATTTAAACAAGTTGTTAAATTAACACATTTTTTATGAATTAAATTCAATCTGTTCAAACGAATACTATAAATAGGGAAAGGAAATGCTCTTCAACGATACTGATTTTTAAAGAATTTTATAAAAATGGAATGGATTTTTTGTAGCTAAAAATCGGATCCCTTGAGTTTAAAAGTATTATATTAAGACTTAAGAAAATTGTATCCAAGCAAACCAAGTAATATTCTTACTTCTGAAATATATTAAAATAGGGATATAATCAAATAAGCTGCACTCAAAATAAAGCCCTACGATGGCCTGCAATCAAAGCTCACTACAATTAAGGAACAATCTCTTAGTCACCCGAAAATATTGATGACCCCTATGGCGTCTGCACAGATACTCGATTGTTGACACATTTCCCACAAAGTGTTTCTCCGACTGTAGCCCAATCTCGGACCACAGTGAAGTGTGACTTTTCGTGGCACCCAGCAAAGACAAAGACCGAAGGCAATTTTTCCATTTACGCAATTAATTGGCCGTCACGCTGGGAGGTCCGCTAATAGACCAAGTCAGAGAAGTAGACCCTAGAGCAAAGCTCATCACGGATTAACGTTTTGCTTATTGACTGATTGATATCCAACTCGCATCACCCACAAAAATAACCCAATAACAACAACAAACAACAACAACAATGCGAACAAGAGGGATTGATTTTTGAGAAATTTTGACAAATGTCCGGGGAGCCCTCGACGTGTTAGGCCCATGTTAATGGAGCTCTGGGAGTCGTGGTCTTATAAATGGGCTCGATTAGAACCCAATTACAAGGGTGGAATGCCTCGATGGCCCCAAGACAAGCAATCTACCCGGCCGATTACTTTTGATCGTTAAATTATGAGCCATACGTTTAATTTTATGACTTCTTTCGCCTAACAAAACCATTCGAAAAAAAACCACAAAAAATATCCCCAAAAAAAGAAGATATCAAAAGCAGCGAGTAGCCAATGTAATAAGTCGGGTAAGGTGGCAAAATTACGCGGATCGAGCACTATAATTTTCGCACCGAAGGTGCTTAAAGACCCTGCCATTTCCTCATCACCCAAATTACCCGAAATCGCATCGCTGCCTCGAGTCGCGCTGTCCTACACTTTAATCAGCTAAATGGACTGTTGAAAATTCGCCACATTCGGGGCATAATCAACTCGGGATGTTTGGCTTCCGACGGAGTCCGAGTCGGAGTCGTCCTCCCTCCAAGTTATTGTTTGCATAATGAGCTCGGGGCGGGATCCCATTCCGGACCTAATGTTCTCTGCTCCTGAGCAGCTTGATTGGACAACGATATGTCAAGGAACTCGGCCCTCATAATTGGATCGAAGCTGCAATTGCCGGATACACATCTGGACTTTTTGAATTTGCAGTTAGATGCCTCGGGTTGTTAGCGGTTTGTTCTGCCAGGTTTTTTTCTTTCACATGCTGCAAAAGCGCCATTTAAAACCGGGAATAACCAATTTGGATTGTGTCATTAAAAAGGATTGGAAAGTACCTTAAGGAACACGTTATATTTCACAACAAATCATATGGTAATCATATGGTTATTATTACTAATAATTTAAGAACCTATTTCATTAAATAAAATTTGCAAACCAATTTCCAAGAGAATATTTGTTTTAATATTAACATATCAAGACATATATATTTTTATAAAATTTTTTATAATTAATGTGTTAAAGATATGTAGCTTTTGTTTCTTCAAATAATAAAGACCAGAATACTTGAATTGTTTTTTTTTAAATTTGAAATCTCTTGAAAATATATTTTCTAAAAGAACGTTATGTTAAAAATCTTAAATTTTTGAGCCATAAGACGGATTTTTCCTCGTTATAAAAATTATAAAAGGCTGTTCAGCTTTGTGTGTGGCAAATGTTTCAGATGTTTTTTCAGAGCTAGCTTTAATTCCAGCGTCCTTGCCCTTCACCCAACCAAAGTCCTTATCTAAAGCGCATTAATTAAAAGCCAGTGCTTCTGTGTCCCAGATTCTGTGATAAGATAAACGCAGTCTAGCTGGGAGGTGCTGAAAGCCAAGCCAGCCTAACTGGATTTTTGATTTGTTCTTCGATTTCGTTTAGCGGAGCAGAACCTCCCAGCAGCTTCGGCAGATGGCCCAGAAACAGTCGCAATTGCGAACCGAGAAATCTCTGACCAACATCCCGCATGTGCCAGTAATCAAGTCATCCCGCCGAGATCCCAGATTCCCGATCCCCTGACCTGAAACCCAAAAACCAGACGACAGCGGCACGCACGACTTGACCTGCCTCAAAAAGCAGATGGATCGGGCAAATCGAGGGGAATCGGGGGAAATCGGAGATCGAAGACGCCAAGAAGTGAACGGTCCGCATAACCGTTTAAGTTAATTATGATTATGATTACGATTACGATTATGATTATGATTATGGCATGAGCCTAACTTATCAGCGCATCAATGGGGGATTATAGAAATGAAAAGTGCTGCGTGCAGTGAGCGGAATCAGAATATTGGTATTCAATTAGCGTAACTGGTTAACAGGTGGTAGTTGGCCGCGGTCAACAGAGCGACCAGCCAAAGTAAATAATAACAACAATTAATTTCGTTTGGGGATTTATGGGCGTGTGGATGCAGGGCACGTAGATGCGATGGCACGGGTTAACTTGGGCCTACAAATCCCCATCCTCTTTCAGTTTTCAAGCAGACCACGAAGAGGAAGTGGCTAAGACTGCGGCAAGCCGCCAGTCCAACAGCTGCACTTCTTCTGGGCTCCGAGTTATGCTGGTCCTCGGCTCCTTTAAACCATGTTTACCCACTTTTTTTCTCCTTTTCTTCTTCTGCTGCTGCTGCTGCCTCAGTTGCTCTGACTAGACGACACTTGGAGATTTAAATGCCTTTGTGCCTCTTGGTTTTGGAGCACGTGCTCAGCATTCAGCGCGAGCCTCGAAAGGTGCAAACTGGAAGATACAAAAAATAAAGGAGAAACTCCCACGATCATTTGGCCATTGGCTGCGGCCCACTCGAGATTGATGTATTGATCCCTCCCCGCATGATCAATCATTCTACCGGCTGGGATTCCACCTCGAAGTCCACACAAAGCCACTGACAATTGCCTTTGACAGTTTTTACCGTTTCCCTCGATTGCTGTTTATATCTTGTCCCGATTATTTCCGTTGTGAATTGTGCGCCTCCTTTTGCATATGCGAATTTTCGGTATCGAGAATTTAGGGGAGTGATTGATATCGGACAGTCAGTCAGTCAATCAGTTCATCAGTCGCAAGGGCAGCTGTTTTGGCAGGCAGTGCTGCCTAATGGATATTTAAATTGCATTGTCCGGAGATATTGTTAGAAAAGTGTAAACAAGGAGGTGGGAAAAAAGGCATTTACCAAAGTTACTTTAAATAAGATTATAAATATTTTTTAAAGACTCATTCTTAGTTACAAATCTTACCTACTAATTTAATTCCGGCTACAAATTAATAATAATAATTCCCTGTAACCCGAAGTATCATATACATTTTTTAATTTTAATTCTTAATAATAAATATTCCTTTATAAGAGCTTAGCACATATCATAGACTCTCCATCTGAAACCCAAATTATTTAACTCATTTATTGTGTCTTGTTGTCCAAACCATAACTAACCCACAATTTGATGCACTTTATTCTTGTTCCATTCCCGCATAAATAGTGGCACCTTTGTCGCGTGCCTGCCTCAAATGAGGCTCCATTGCGATCATAAAAACCACCTAAACAAACCCCACTAATTAACAACAGAATCGCGGGCGTATTATCGCATTCAAATTAGCAGCGGACACACCAGGCAAATAATACTAATCGAACAACAAAACTCGAAATGCATGGCGAAATATTTGGCAATTTTTATGTGGAATTTGTTCGCCCAAAAAGAGTAGGTAAACAAGCAAAATGGCGAAACAATGAAGGGAACTGGCAGCCACCACGATTTGTGGGCCATAAATAACTCGAATCGTTTGGCCCAGAACGACCTCGTCAGCAGGACACTCGAAAAATGCAACTGCAACTGCAACGTTTCATTAGTCAAAGTATATTTTCCGGTGGAAAGGGGAGGGTTTTCCAATGCTATAGAACCACTCCCCAAAACGAAATTCGATGCTAATTTCGGGCTAATAAATTATACGTTTTGACAGTCATGCTTGCCAATTTTATCTCTCGAATTCCTCACTGATTGCAATCGCTGTTTTCCATATTGATTGTTATCGGTGTTTTCCAGGGATTCCGATCCACAGCCCACACACAACTCAGTTCGCTAAATGTCGGGTAATTAAATCAGAGTGGAAATTAGGAGTCAAACATTTTTATAAGGAAAATCCCACAAAATCACCACGGGTTGTCTGCCGAAACTCCTTGACTCTTTGGTCGCTCGGCAGGAGTCGGATGGCTTGAGGCAAATTGCACACTTCACACCTAGTGCTCCGCAACTCACACCTCTTGTGAGGTGTCTTTGTAGATATATAGATATATAGAACCTGGTCCACAGCCCAGACACATCCTGTGGCGCATGGCAAGACATCAACTTGCAGTTGGTGTTTGGTGTCATTAGCGTCGGGCATTTGGAGGCGTCTCTCTTGGTTGCCACCTGCCGAGTCTCGAGTCTCGAATCTCGAGGCTTGCGACTCGAGCTGACGTTACAATTACCTGGTAATGCGAGGCACGATGAGGACGACCACAGAATTACAAAACAACACCCAAGGAGCCGTGGAGATGTCACATCTACGTGAGCAGAACCCAAAGAGCTCTTCTTCAGCTGGTGAGAAGGAGTCATCAATTTGAAGATCCCAGCTCTGTTTCGAGTTCCTTGTGGTCTTTGGGAGCTCTGAGCCCCTGCGGTTTAGATAATATTATATAGTAAGTAAACCATCAGGAGCTGAAAACAAATGTCTTAGCAGATAAAAAAATTGCAGGAATTTTAATTTTAAAAATTTTTATAATTATGTATTAGAAAATTTAAGTTTAGTTTAAATTTATTATGCGTTTTTGAAGACTTTAAATTTTGCCCTTCGTTTGGCATAATTAGTTGTCCATTTTGTGCATATTCAATTAACTTAGAATAAAGCGTTTGGTGTAATGCCATGTTAACTGATATTTAATTTAAAGCAATATAAACTTTTAATACCTATGTGACCTAAAGAACTCTTAAGTATGTATTCTCGATGAAAACCATTATATTTAAAGAGCATATTTAAGGGGATGTTAAAATAAAACTTCAATCAATATGTGATAGTTTTCCCCCTAAGCACTTGGTTCCCATTGAAGAACGGAGTATATTTTATTGGACTTCGTCAGAGAGTGGAAAACAAAGCGTTTTCACACATTGCCCCAGGCGAAGACCCTCGGCCAGAAGCGGCTACCAGATCCTTTTCTCCTTTTTTCTCCAAGAGACCAATATAAATCCAATTAGCACGCCTTTGTCTGATCTATAGTATAGCACACACCACCGGCAAAAAGGAAGACGAATCGAAGGAGAGCCGGGAAAAAGGGAAGAAGGGAAGCAAACGGATCGAAGGAAAGACTCGCACAAAGGAACTCCGAACACACTTCATCGGATCGGGGCTCTCGAATTCATATATCTCAGGGGTTTCTGCCCGAAGTTTATGACTTGTGCACCTTTTGTGCTCGCCATTAAACGCCATTAGCGGGCATTTAAGGATCGCTTTTCGGCTCTAATTTTTTGTTGCTGTTATTGCAGAGGTCGTCGAGGTTAAGCCGGGGTCACTAGGAGGGTGTTCCGGGGCACACCTAATCTAATAAGCCGCGAGCACGCAAACAAGTTCACGTGGGAAAACGGGAGCGGGCGAAAAGAATCCAGGAGAGATAAACGCGTGGGTCGTCGGGATAATTCCGAGATGGGTGTGTGTGGGAAGTACTGACCGGTTATTTATGGACTGCCGCCGATGTTGCAATTGGATATGGGAAGAGATCGCGATGCAGAACGCCCAGTGTCAGTGTGCCAATGGAATCGCATCAATTTCTGCACTTTATGTGACATAATCCCAGCCAGAACGGCGGCTATAAAAGCTGGAATCAGATGCCAAAACCTCCGCAGTATCGCGTGAAGTTCTGCAGAATGTGGCGTCTCTGCGGATTCGTTCTGCTCTTTTGCGGGCTAACTTCTGGCCAAATTAGTGAGGAGGATCTGGGGAAGGCTGTTCCGGATGAGGACGATCCCATTTACAGCAAGGAACTATCGGACTTGGTCATCACCACAGCTTTGGGCAAAATTCGTGGCACCATTTTACCCTCACAATCTGGACGGAATTTCTATGCCTTTCGGGGAATTCCCTACGCAAAACCTCCAGTGGATCGCCTTCGTTTTGAGCCACCGGAACCTGTGGAGCAGTGGTTCGATATACTGGACGCCACTTTCGATGGCCCAAAGTGTCCACAATTGGGTCTTATAAGTGGAGATGTCAGTGAGGATTGCCTGCGGGTTAATATTTACACCAAGGAGCTGCCCAGCGAAGGGCAACCGAATATTCGAAGACCAGTGATTGTGTTTATTCATCCTGGAGGATTCTACTCCTTGTCCGGACAGAGCAAGAACTTCGCAGGTCCCCAGTATTTTATGGATCGAAGATTGGTACTGGTTACTTTTAATTACCGTCTGGGGTCACTGGGTTTTCTGGCCACCGGAACTAAGGAAGCTCCAGGAAACATGGGACTCAAGGATCAAGTGCAACTCCTTCGGTGGGTTAAACTACACATCTCACGTTTTGGAGGAGATCCTAGTTCGATTACACTCTTGGGTTATGGAGCTGGTGCCATGGCAGTGACTTTGCATATGGTTTCACCGATGTCAAGGGGTCTTTTCCATAAGGCAATCGTGATGAGTGGAGCAGTCACAGGTCAGTGGTCTTTACCGAATCATCAGATGGATGTGGCCACCAAACAGGCTACATTGCTTCATTGTCATACGGAAAATGTTACCGAAATCGTGGATTGCTTAAGAGGGGTAAGAGTCTAAAAAAGTTCACCTTACCCTTAATTTTGATATCTTTACATCCAGAAACATTACCTGGAATATGCAAACACGTTGCCAAAAATGTTTGAGTTCGACAGGAATAATCCGTTGATTTTGTGGAAGCCAGTTATAGAACCAGATTTTGGTCAAGAACGTTTTCTAATCGAAGATCCCATTAGAAGCTACCAAAATGATGACTTTATGAAGATTCCAATTATAACTGGAATGACCAAGGATGAGTTTGTGGGACCAGCTTTATGTAAGTATCTTTAAAATTCAAATTTCAAAATTAAAGAAATCTTTTATAGCCATCTTGCAAAGTCCTTCTCTCTTGAGCGCCCTGAATGAAAATTTTGAGAAATTGGCTCCTGTGTTCTTTATGTATAATGAGAGTGATCCAAAAGTTGTTAATATCAGCCAGGAGTTACGGAATCATTATTTCAAAGATCAACCAATTGATGCCAATTGTTCGCTTGAGGCTTTGTCCAATCTTTACTCGGATGCCTTGACGGGTTTCGGAATCCATCGTTTTGTCCATCTGGCTGCCAGGTCAACGAAGGTCTACTACTATCGATTCGCTTATCAGGGTGCCAGAAGTCACATTTATTATCCGGAAGATGCACCCTATGGGGTGGTTCACCACGACGATCTGATGTATCTGTTTGTGGAACCCTCGATAAGTCGCATGTTTACCGAAGATGATGAGGAGTTTCGCATGGTGGATGTTATGGTGCGAATGTTCTCTGCCTTTGCTTATAAGGGGTAATTTAAAAATAATTAACTTAGTACTTTTTTCCAGTCTAAACATTTATTATTCTAGTGATCCCAACAAACCCACTGATTTGGCTTTACGAGATATTCGCTGGCGTCCTTTTAGCTTCAAGAAACGCTACTTTCTAGACATCGATAAAAATCTAACTCTGCAGGAAAACCTTAATGCCGAGCGCTATGAGATCTGGAAAAGGCTGTTTCCCCTCAATTGGCGACGTCAAACGAAAGAGGTTTAAACTTTATAACTTGATCACAACTGTACTCTTAAAATACAGGCCACTAGGCGTATTTATTTAAATTGCTTGACTTTGTTTTTTTTGCTGCTGTTCAGTTGCCAAGTGACAGACCAATTGGCATATTTTCAACTCTCCAATTTGATGAGCCTTCCCCTGAAATTTGTTTTGGCCCTTCGTGTCATCGCTGTGTGGGTGCATATATTATACGACAGTCGGCACTCGATAACAGCTATACGTGTCGTGCATTATGGGTTGTCGTCGATCGCGTGCCAAGCTTGGGCACTCAGAGAAATTATGGTTAACAATTAATAAAAATAATAGTACAGCAGTTTAATTTAAATATCTTTTTTTTTTAAATATATTATAATTTTAAGTATTTACACACCTTAAAATAATTATTCTACAAAAAATATTTTTAACGTTATTTTATCGACAAATAACAACAATAAATGAAGTGTAGTTTATTATATATTTTAAAAATATAAGAGTCTTCCTGATCCTCAAAATATTTGGAATTGTTAGTCTTGTTATTCAATAGCGAATAAGCCATTAGTAAATTTAGAAAAAAAAGGAAAAAGTGATCCTGATATTTAAAAATATTAGGTTTTATATAAATTGCATGTGAAAAAGCATACAAATTATTATGTATTCATTTTTCAATAATGCGTTTTCCTTTGCCACATTATTTTCCCTAGAAATTTTTAGAAGTGTAGACCACCTCCGCCGAAGTCTCGATTGCTGCCACCGCACATCTGTGATGTTGAACCTCATCCACTTTGCTGTTAGTGGGTCGCGCACAAATGTATTTTCGTTTTTATTGCTCTTATCGGAGTTTGGTTACGCTCCAGAGCATGACAATGTCAAAAGCGAGTCAGAAGCGTCCAATTCGAGTGGCTCGAGTCCTGGTCCTCGACTCATTAGCATAGTGGCCAACATATGACGCTCTCGATACAACCACCCATCCATCTACCATCCATATCCATCTATCCTTCCAATTGGCAATTGAAAACTCCGACATGAGTCACGCCACATCCTCGTCCACCTTTCGAAAGTCCTGCGGGGGTGCCACCAGTTGGAAAACTTTAATATATTAATTTATGCAAATTGCAAGGCAACCAAATGCGGTCGACTTTGTATCATATAGATCAATGCATGTCGGGGTTGCTCGTTTTGATCGTTTCCACTTTAGTTTTAATTGTTTCGCTTGTCAGCGGCGTTGGAATAGAGGAGATCAGCAATCGAGATCGGCAATGAGAGCATATGCTGTCTGTCTGACTGCCATAATTTGTTAGATGCAAAAAAAAAAGAAGGAGGAGGGAATTTTCAAGAGGGAGTAGGAGTGGGATTGTGTGGCATTCCAATTTCCAGCGAAATATTTGGACAAGAGGCCGAGAGTCGCCGAAGATTTCGATTTCCGCGAACTGGCAAAAGCGCAAATAAAGTTGTGAGAGCGTTGCAGACTCAATACGAAAAGCCCCCAGGGTCCAAAATCATATCAGATGGGCCCAAAGTTGGCCCGAGGTGTCTGCGTTTCCTGCTGCGAATGCCTCGCGAGTAAACCAAGTTGGCCAAGTTAAGCAAGTTGGCCAAGTTAGCCCACTTGGTGTTGGCGGCCAGGTTTTTATTGACTGATGGAAATCGCTCAAAGAGCAGTTGAATTTTCGCTATGCTTGCCCACAAAATGTAATTAGATTGGGGAGGAGGAACCGCAAGAGCTGGCCAAACATCCACCTCGGCTGTGGTTTTCCCTCGGTCCCAGGAAAATGCCCAAGACGCGTGCTTGGAACTCCTGCTGTCAACATCAGTGCGCAGGAATCTCGCCGAGTTGCGGCCAAAAGGCAATGAAGTTGTCTGGCAATTGACGCGCGATAAGCCCGAGACACAGTTCCAAACTGAGCAAGAAAAAAAATAAGAAACCTAGAAAAAAACAAAGGCAATCCAGTCGCGAAGCTCCAACGTTGTGTCCTCTCTCTTACATAGAAAAATTTGCACAAACATCACAAAACTCATAAATAACAACAACAACGACAGGCGGCAGCGGCAGCTGAAGTTGCAACTGCCACAGCTAAGAAAAAAAAGAGACTTGCTGCAACTATTGCAGCCAGCAAGAAGTGTCCACCTAAGTGCGACTCCCTGGCTCTTGACTCCTTTATCCAGCGATGGATAATATGGCTTGCACTCCACAATTTATGAGTCACTTGGCAGTTTCGGCCGAAAGCTATGCCAGGCATTTATTGGGTTAAGTTCAGCGGATGGAGGCATTGACATATTTTCACTGCCCAGTGGGAGTGGGAAGTGGATGGGAGTGGGTTGGGAAACTGTAGGGGAAACTGTTTGGAGGGACTTTAATTTCAATTACTCTGGATTAAATTATGCCAAAAGAAAGTATTTAGAATTCCACTTCAATAGCTCAAATTGTCTATAATTAAATTTTGTATATTTTATTCAGTTTAATAAATACAGTAAATTTGTTATTTCAACAGTTTATTGGCTACGTAATATTTTTTAAATTATAATTTACATTCTTTGAACCTAGCTTAAAAATATTTATATATTCGCTGCTGGTTAAGCAAATTAAATTTCTAATGTAACTATACTCCTTAACCTTCAATTGCAATTATGATAAAATTATTAGACAGTTGAAGTGTTTTTGAAAAATATTTCTTAAATCTAATTTGGCTCGTGCCCCTAACCCACTGCTCGAAATCACCCACATTGGTAATTACCACCAGGAGCTTCTGACTTAACTTCTCTGATAAGAGCACTCTTGGCATGTGCCGCTGGCTGGAATTATCCGAGTTTATGGTGCATGGCACCCACTTTCCACCGCGACTTTCCCCCGAACTATTAGCATAGGAAAATGGGAAATATGACGAGTGAAAAGCATTTAACAGACAATTGCGTGCGGCGTGTGGGCGATCCATCAGCAGTCGATGGAAATATGCTGATAGGCTGGCGAGAAAACCATTAGCAACTGGAGGAGGGAAGGTGAACTGAATATCCTGCAGGAGTTTTTAATAACTGCCATGATCCTGCGGCGCCGCTTATTGGAAACCAGCTGAAGTGGCAGCTTCGGAAAAGTCGCGTGCCGATCGCAAGCTGTGTCTGCCCTCTCATCATCCCATGCTGTGGGCTATATAGTATAGTATAATATAGTATATCCGACGATCTGTCAGTCGGTAAGTCTCCCTCATTTTATCTCCCCGGATGTCAAATACCCAGAGAGCTCAGTTTAGTTGTCTGTTGTCATCGCGGCATCAGGTTTCAATAATAGTTTTGTGCAGCTTTCGACTTGCGATGATGATGGATCGTGTTGCACGGTGTCTCGCTTTTTGACTAACTGACACAGGGATGAATTGCCTAATGGAAATCCCAGTGACTCGAGTACCTTTTCAAAGGGGATCTGAAGTTTTATGAGCCTTTCGGTAAGCCCTCGCATTCCTCGGCCCTCGAGTTATTTGTTTTATTCTAGAAACCGTAGATAAACTTTAATGAGCATGTCAGAAATTCTACTGGTGGTCAAAACCAACAAATCGATGACAAATTGTGTTCGATGCCATGTGAAAGTTGCAGCGGAGAACCCCAGCTGACTGTCAACAGTTTAGTGGTTCGTTTAACTAATTGCTCAATAATATATGGTACCTGGTTCGATGCTCGATGGAAGGCTATTAGAACAAGTGCATCGGGATGCGCCGCGGGTCAATTTCCCAGACTCCAAACGCCAAGCTCCTCACGACGCCAAAACTATTAATCACACGAAATTGTGGCACAAAAGTACGATTTCATTAATTGTGGGCAAAACACACTCGCCGAAGGAAAACCACACCCGCATGCCACTCGAGAGAGTTTCCCACGAACTCGGCACCGGTTAGCTGAACTCCAGCTCCCATTTCGGATACAGTTGCTCTACAGTTTGACCCTTTGACTGGCGCTATTTTCAGACCACTCCCCTAGGTGGCTACCGCTGATGGGTTTGCTCTTCTCCTATTTTCCTATTTGTATTCGTATTAGCCAGTGCGATCACGTAGCTTTTAACCCGGCAAAAAGGTGCCACAAGGTGACGGGCTGAAGAGTTGGGACTGCAATTCACGTGAAGACAGCTGCCGCAGAAGCAGCCCGAAGTGGCACTGGATGGATGGATGCAGCCGCATTCCGTGCCCTCATATTGTAGTTCGGTGTCAACGTCAACCACGTAATCAACTTACAGGAACCCATTGCCAGGGCAAATAGTCGGCACCGCACACTGAGCATAAAAAGAACAGAAAGAACCTAGGAAGTCGCTTCAGTTCCTACAAAAAGTTTCATTCTAATATTGTAACTACATTTACCAAGGTAGTAATTGATATTTGATTGTAAAATTAATAGGAATTTGTTGTTGGTAAAACTGAAAATATGAAAATGGGAAATAAATATAATATTCATTTAGCATCAGGAAATAATAATTATAAAATTACATCTAAAGAACTTAGACAAGAAATCCAACACACAATTTCATAGTCGTCAATAATTCCCGTATTAAATTAAACCAATTTGTTGTTAAAACTAAATTAGCAGAAGTTTTATAGCTACAAAAACTGCAATTTGAATTTATTGGATTTTTATTATAACATTTTTAGTGAAACTAAGCTCTGTTTAATTTTAAAAATATTTAAGAATAAATTTAGCACATTTGAGTTTTGTACCGCTTACAAAATCAAATAAAATAAAATAGGTAATGCTTTCCAAGAAAGTAAATAGTAAATTTTTTAGCTAAGCGATAAATAGATATAGTAATATTATTTCTATAAAATAATTGATAATAAGATATTTTTATTATTTATATTATTTATCCATTTGTTTCTTTCAGTGCACACTCTAGCAACATCCCTTTCATGGACAGCAAAAAAAGAAAAATTGCAACAATCCGCAGAGGCAACCCCCGAGGTCCTGAGGACCAAGTCCTCGTAGCTATCTTCCCTCAATCGAGAGCGGGAAGGGGAGGAGATATAGAAGTGGATGGAGAGGGGGATTGAGAGGAGGGGGTGCAAAGGGCAGGGTGTCCTGGGCTCGCTAATGTTTGGTTTCATTAGTCCTGAGCGACAAATCAAACAGTTTGTGGCAGTTTGTTTGCTGTATTTTTTCCGGCATCCATCCGTTGTTTACACTCATTAGTTGGTCCTTCTGCCATTCGGGATTCGGTTTGGTCCTGAGTCCTGTATCCAGGATCTGGGAAAAGCGTCGCACCCTCTCGACAACTAGCATACGTTTTTGGAGAGGACGCACTGATTTCTTTTTCGGTTGTTGAGGGTGCCACTCGGATGTTGTTTCGTTTTCATTATTTAAAGCACATTAATAATCACATTTGACAACAGAGCAGCCGGAATAGGATTAGATGAGGGGAGGGGAAAGGGGGAGGAGTGACAGGAGTCGCGTATCGGAAAACTGCAAACAAATATTTGCAAAAGGACATTCAGAAAGGAACGGGAAGTGGCACTTAACGCGCTTGTAATGATTGCGACTATTTGGGTGGTTGCGCTTTTAATACCCCTCAAATTGGGTGCAAAAACGATGGCAATCTCAACCGAAAGTGGGTGTTGCAGTCGATTGATTTGTGGCTAGTTATGAGGTAATTTTTAGAAATTTAGGGGGCAAAAAATTTAAATAACAGAAGGGGCTTGAAAATATATATATGCTAAAACAGAATATTTATAAAAGAAGACGTTCAACTATCCAAATATTGAACTAGATAAATCAAAAACTTATTTTTATATTTTGTATATTTTTTTTTGTATCGGTTTATTAAATAAAACATTTTTTTCCAACTAGTATTTATTTATTAAAATGAAATAACAAGGGCCATAAATATTTTGATTTTGTTTGATCCTTTGTTAAGAACGGTAAAACAGTTATAAGTTTTCAATAGGAAGTTACTATCGTTTATTATTTAAAAATTGATTTTTATTATCATAAATCATGATATCAGGCAACCGAGTGTGGTCCTACGTTTCTATTAAGAACTGGGCCCAAAACATGCATAATTATGATCGCTGCGCTCCTTTAACCCCAAGTGTTTTTTGTCGCCGGGTCTTCAAACAAAAGCGACAACGACATATCGTATCGAACAACAAAAGACACTCAACTGGGGACCACACACACACCATACACACAAAAAGAGCTCGAAACTTGGAGTAGAGTAGCCTGAGATAGACAGCGAGACAATGGGGCACTCTTGTGTGGCAGGCTCTCGCTCACATGTGAGCCGTGTATTTCGGTTATCGAATAATCAAGTTGTGCATCGGACTCCCCCTCCACCCCAAAGTAAACTAAAAAGTGGACAAGGGGAAGACAATTAATTTTAAGGTCGTTTGATGTGAACACTTTCACCCAAAACAAACAGATACGAGTGTCCTTTTCCCAGTCGCTTTGATGTCGGTCGATTTCGGGGAGTCTGTGAATTGCTGCAAGTGCGGGAAGGACCACCAATCATTAATCACAGCAATTTGGATTTGTATAAATATTTAATTAACCGCAGAATAGGGAAAGTATCTGTCAGATTGAAGGAGATTGTAGGCGCCATGGATCTCAGGGGAAATTAATGAAGTTGTTTGGAGCGAAAGGAAAACCAATTTCCAGGAGATTCTCCTTTGTGATCAAAGCTCTGTCCGAGCAGATCCTTCCACGAATACCAATCAATTGGGCAGTCTTCGATTGCAACCCCAATAAAAACAGACCAGCCAAAATAAAACAAATTTCGTGCGTGTTGTCCAACCAAGTGGCCTGAGTCTTCCCAGAAAAACCAGGACAAAACAAAGCGCTGCTCTCCCGAATCGAATCCTTCCCCACATTTCCCTATGCTCTACACTCCGCACTCTCAATTTGTATTGTCATTAGCGATTATGGGCCTGCAATCGGTTGGAGGGCGTAATCCGATATGTTGACAGAACGCATAAACGTGCAGGGGAATGGGCATTTTGTACAGACAGGACCAGACAGACAGAACCGCTGACAAGCCTATAAAGCATTCGATCCTTGGCGCTACTTCAAAATGTTTACTCCTTTTGTGAGCTCAATAAAAACGTAATCAAACCCGCAATGCGAGGGGGAATTCACGATGATGATGCGTCACAAAAAGAGCAAGGGATTGGTACTGGGATCAGACCAGGTTTTCCTTTGAAAAACCATGGCGCAGGCGTAGCGAAAGTGAAATCGAGACGCGTACACATTTGAATCGGCAGCTGGAACACCTTGGCATCATCGTCATCGAATACGAACCCTCACCTTTCGAGGACTCGAGGATGTTTCTGTTGTTGTTAGAGGACCACAATGGACCAGCCAAAGTCAAAAGGGGCACGCGCTCACCGATCAGTTCTCGATTTTTAAACCTAGACAGTAGACATTGTGACTGATCGGGGTCGTATCCTCCGATCCTCAATCCTCGATCCTCAATCCTTTGCATGCTGTCTAGACAAGCCGCAGACACAAGTTTAATAGACTTATTGTAATTGAGTCACAAAAGCCACTCGATATTTATTTCCACAATCCGTTCCTTGATTTCCAGCTGCCTGGGAAAGGTGTTAACCTTTTTTGGGTTAAATCCCATTTGAAGAGCGGAATTCGATGTGTTAATGTTGAAGAGAAATTTAATTAAAATTTGCAAATATTTTCCCCATTTTCGTTGTCATTTCTGTCATCTCATCCTGCCTCGGGGATTTTTCTCTGTCAAGTTGACTTGCCCACCTTTTTGTGGGATTTTGTATATCCCAAAAGGGAATAAGGCACCACTGTTTGCCTTTGCCCCTCATATTTCTATAGGACAAGTTAACAAGTTAATTTTCCATATTTTCTTTGGTCCAACTTTTCAGCAAAGTCATGTCCTTGTGTGCGTATCCTTTGTGGTTGGTTAAGGGTTAAACTTCCGACTTGACCCCAATGAATATGAGTGCTAATGAGTGAGAAGCGTAGAGAATTTCTTGGTTTAAATTTTGTGTTACACTAGAGAGCTCTTCCTTTTGCAACTTTAAATTCAAGGGGAAAATATAATCAACTCCCCAACTGTTTTGTGCCGCCCAACCACCCCAAAAAGTGGGCGGGGCTGGCGATAATCCTTTTGTATCCCATCGCATTGTTTGGCATTTTCACGCAAGAGCAAATCGTAAATGTCAATAGCAGCGCATCTGTGTAATGGGATAAGACCTCCGATTTGAACGCAGAGGGGGAGTGAGGTTGAAATCAGAGCGGTTTTGTTTTCACATGTGCCAACCTGACAATTACCATGATTCAAAGCTCAAAAAGGTTTGCTGAGTTCCGCCCCCAAAAAAAGAAGCCGTGCAAAGCCGAAAACATTTAAAGACAAATTAATGTGTATTTAAGCTGCCCCAATCCGCTCCAAGCCAAAGACTAATTGCCCTCGAGAAAAGCTGAGCTCGCTCAGTGGAAACAGGGAAAATCTCACGCCTTTGTTGATTAATTAATCAAAGTAAATAGTTGCGCCGAGCAAACTCGCTAAGCGAGCGCAAGCGTCGAAGGTCATTAGCGTAATCTAAACGGCCTATTGATAAGCTTTTTCCACACCTAATTGCTACATTAATTTTCCGATGAGCCGGGAGGCCACTCCGGTGGCGACTCCGACCCAAACGCCGAGTTTCCAGGCCGCACCTCCGCTCCGGGCGGCCGTGGGAAACAGTTCGTCCCAGACGGCATATCGATCTGAATCGAGGGGAGAACCCACCTGGGTCGCCACCCCGTTGAAGAGCATCCACAGGTCGGATGAGTTGCAGGGAGGCCAGTCACCGGTGCTGTTTAAGGGTGTCCTGGAACGAAAGGAACCCATTACGTTGCTTATAAACCATATGCCTTCGATTAGTTTGCTAAAGTTTCAGAAGGTTTCTAAGGGGGTGTCTTGGGCGGCCTTGAAAATTCCTTAGGCTTACAGTGCTGACGTCTCGTAGAAGCACTCCTCAGTATTTTATTACGTGTTCAACATATAACTCCAAAATTTTAAAATTTTCTAAGCCTCTTTTACTTAGATTGATTGTATTACTTTGAATTTGAGCACGAGAAACACGTAAAAACATCGGAAACCCGACTGTAAAAAAAAAAAAAAGGAAAAAAAAAAAAGAAAAAAAGTAAAGCAATGATGCGCAAAGAGGATGCGAAGCGTCAAAGGTCGAGGAGATCCCTGAGATCCCTGGGAGGTCAGGGTTCACTGGCGGAGTCCGAATGCCGGGAGCCCGATCCGCTGAACACCTTCGCGGAGAAGCCGCTCAGCATATACCAGTGGATGCGGTGGAAGAACTGCAAGACCAATAAGGTGCACCTGCAGGAGACCTACCCCATCATCCGACCGCCGATCTCCAAATGTCGCGAGTCTGAGACCCTGAAGTTCGTTGACGAAGCAATGGAAGCCAACCAGTGCCAGCGGCTCTCGGACTTCGGCAAGGAAGACGTTCTGTCCGTGTGGAGCTCCAGTCCGCGCAAGGACACCCTGCGATGGTACGGCATCGACGCCAGTTACCCCACTCCGCAGGCTGCTTCCTACAATCGAGCCATGCAGAAAAGCCTCAAGGCTGCCAGTCTGCTGTTCAAACCGCCGAGGAAGTCTTCCAGCAAGCCCAAGAGACACCCGAAGGAGAAGGAGAAGCCCTCGGAGCCGGGCGCTTACGTCCTGAACCGGGACTGCCTAAAGGCCAAGCTGGACAGGATGCCCAATGTGCGGCGGCAGCTGCGCCCGAGCAACGCCTTCTCGTTTCTCCACTGCCCCGAACCGCCGGATCCGGAGCACCCCTTCGAGGACACCGCCGGCCATCCGGAGATCAGCTTGGAGCAGGCCATGGACATGGCCATCCCGGAGAAGCCATCGAAGCACGGGCTGCGCCGGAAGCACTGGTACTGCCCCCCGAAGTGCGGCGAAGAGGAGAACAAGTGCACCGACTTCGCCTGGGCCCAGTACAAGCAGGATCCTCGTCCCTACGACGAGGCCTTCCAAAGGGAGTTGGCCGGACTGCAGGTGGAGGCCAAGGAGCCGGAGCCCCGCAACTACGACGAGCTGTACAACTCACTGGTGACCTGCTTCGAGCCCGACCCGAACGGACCCAACGATCTCTGCGAGGCGCTCGCCAAGTGCTGCAAGGATCCCGAGGAGCCGCCCAGCCAGGGATGCAGCGAGTTCGTGCCGGAAGGCCCCGGCGGAGGTGGAGGTGGTCACGGGGACGGGGGCAAGGATCGGGACAAGGACCGGGACAAGAAGCGGGATAAGGATAAGGATAAGGATGAGGAAAAGGATAAGGATAAGGATAAAGATAAGGATAAGAAGAGGGGTGGTGATCGCGGTGGCGATGGCGAAGGCGGTGGAGATGGCGATGGCGGCGGCGATGGAGATCGTAATCGTAAGCAGCGCGATAAAAAGAAGGACGGAGGAGGAGGAGACAAGGGCGTTGGCGAAGGCGATGGGGATGGGGATACAACGAAAAAGGACAAAGACAAAAATGTCGATAAGGATAAGGAGAAGGATAAGGACAAGGACAAGGGCAAGGGCAAAAAGATGCGCGAGCTCAACGAGGGAAGCCCCGAGGAGAAGCCTTCCGTTCCGCGAAGCCATGAATCCCTTACGGGCGACGAGAAACCACCTAAAGCTGGTGGAAATCGCGGTAGCGACCAGCGCAAGGACAAGGAAAGGGAAAGCGGCATCGGTGGCGATAAGGACACGAGCCAGGACAAAGGCAAGGACAAAGGCAAGGACAAAGGCAAGCCCAAGGGCAGCAAGGACAAGCGCAAAGGCGACAAGCACAAAGGCAAGAAAAAATTTCACAGGTCAAGAGAGGATATGGACAAGGACAAGACGAGTGAGAAGCCAGTGAAGGACTGTCCCTGCGAGATCTGCTGTCCGGCAAAGGAGGAGGACTCGCCCCTGATCAAGGAGATGCGCCGGCGGGACCGGGAGCGCCAGGTGCGCGAATACCTGCGCCAGATGCGCCACCGGCAGTACATGGAGTGCCGGGACCCCGAGTACCGCTCGCCCCACCACAAGTGCAACCCCATCGAGTGCAGCAGCCATTTCTGCGGCAATCCCCGCCTGCAGACCCACTTCGGCCGGGTCCAGGCGGTCCAGCAGTTGCAGTCGGCTCTGCAGCTAAGGAACCTGAAAGGGGACGACCAGATCACCAGGAATCTGGACGCACTCCTCGCCCGACTCTGCAACCGCCTGACCTTCAGGAGTGCGGATCCCTGCTGACCACTGATCCGTGGGATCCTCCGTGTTTTGTTCTTTTTCTACTAGTCCAAGTATCTCAATGTGTTCTTTTAAATAAACCCGGCGGATTGTTAATCTAAACGGTTTTCCTTAATATTTATTTATAGCATTTCCAAAGAACATAAAAGAATTTGTGATGGCCTGTCTGTAATCTTTGCTCCCTCCTTTATATTAATCTGATAGATTTGAAAATATTTTTCAATTACTTACCCCGTTTTGGCAAAGTGTGTAAACCAACTGGTTAAGCGCTCCATCATGAAAATATCCGAATGTCCTTCTGGCATCATGGTGCCATACCAAAGACTCGGCATTATATACTGTAGATCGTCCGCATGAGCCACTCCAAGGGGTTTATTATCCTCATCCAAAGGAGCTGAAACAGTTCGCTCACCCACATAATCAGTTCGCATATAATAAACTGGACTAAAATGCCTGGCCAAATGAACCAGACGATGGACTCCATGGCCAATGATTCCATCAGAGAATATTCGACCGAATTGCTCAATATTGTCAGAATTAATTTCAGTAGTATTACTGCCAAGATAGTAATCCTTTAGTCTTTGACTTATGATTGCGTTTTGATTGTAAAGAAACAACTCCGGAGCGTATTTCTCAAAATTAGAGCCAAGATCATGGAGTAAAGGCTCGTTTTCCAAGTGAACTACAGATAAAAGTGTTAATAGATTTTATAAATATTTAAATACTAATTCATTCCAACTCACCATAAGCAGAGTAATCCAATTCGTTGGCCGTGTAACTGATCAGCAATGGCACCTTGTTAAATTTTCCCTCCTCAATGAGTTTCGTAGGATGTTTAGGCAAAAAATACCCATCTATTTCATAGTTCCACTTCATGTTGACAAACTGGTAGCTTTCCCAGGCCTTGCAGATTTCCACAATGCGTGTCCAGTTCTCATTTCGAAGGCACTCCACCAGATCCGTGGGATCAAACATGGGACAACCCAATTCACGAGCCAGTTTTCGTGACCAAAAAAGGTTATCTATATCAAAGTGATTGGTGGCCGAACCGCTCATGAGGATTGCCCGATGGAAGAGTCCTGCGGAAAGGGGCGAAGCCAAGTGCAGACTGACTGCCATCGAACCAGCACTCATTCCCATAATTGTCACCAACTCAGGATCGCCACCAAAGTGGGAAATGTGATCTCTAATCCATTGAAGAGCCATCACTTGGTCTAGATAGCCAAAGTTTCCCTTCGTTTCACTGCTATTTGTGTTGAGAAATCCTAGGGCTCCAAGACGATAGTTAAAGGCCACGAAAACCACATCATGGTCTAGTAAATATTGAGGACCTGCTTCATAGATACTGTGACCACTTCCCAGGACATTAGCTCCTCCATGAATATAAACAATCACTGGTTTTTTGTTTTCAAAGTTTTTGGTGAAAACATTAAGTTTAAGGCAATCCTCACTCATTAGCAAGGAAATTCCTGGTTGTGGACAAACTAGGGAGTCTGAAGTTGCTTTAAAAACCTCATCACCCCAACTACTTTCGGGAATGGGATTGGAGAATCTCAGCTGACCCACTGGGGCTTGGGCATATCTTATGCCTCTAAAAGCATAAATTGTTTTTCCCTGAAAGCTTTGCATTGTACTTCCCTGGATTTTACCCAAGGAGAGGTCTACTATAGGATCATCATCAATAAAGGTAACACTAATAGTAAATCCTATTGAAACTATCAGTAGAATTCCAAAGAGTTGAAGCACACAAGCCATTTTAAATTTCTAAAAAATTAAAACTATTATTAAACCATATTATTTTGATATGTATGTTACTCCATTTTATTCTTACCAAAACAATAATTTCTCTGTGGGAATGGTTGGTAATCTTGCGTGGTTCTCAGAGTCAGCTTATGTTTTCGCAACAATTTTATTAGTTTTCCCCTTTTCGGTGGTGCGCACCCGCATGTTGCGAGTATCTCAACGAAACCGTGACTGCAGGTTTTCGCACGGTTTCCACTTCTTCGGTTGGTACTATCTCGAAAACCACTTACAGATAACTTGATCGATTGATTAGTTGGCTAAGATTAAGCTTCGTGTTGGTTGGTGTTTGTTTTTAAATAAAAACACAAGATTAGGAGAACTATGCCATTCAATCTCATTTTGGTAATTTAAACTCACGACCTTGTACTTTAATTACTGAACTCCAATTCAATTGAAACTTATTGCTTCATTGAGAGATTTCTGGATTTGGGTTCGTATTTGGCAGCCGTTAGACACTTCACCCTGATTTGCACCACCGAAATGGTGGATCGGATCCTACGCCCGCAGATTTTTTAGAGTTTCGAGTTTAGTTTTTCTCATGCCAGCCAACGACTGAGATTTAAATTGATTTCCTTATTAATGCACATCCCTCTTGTAATATTCAATTAAAACTACCCACGATATGGCAGTTCGCTTGATTGACACAAGCCGCGTGGTAATTACTCGAACTCTGGGAGACCCGAGCTCTCCTTTTCAGCCAGATTTCTGATTTCCGAACATGATGGCGGCGAAGGAAATGCCACAATGACCTTTTCGAAATGAATTCCCTTAATTGCGACTGCTTTTAATTGTGCCAGGAAGTAGATGATCTTCACTTTTGAGTAACAATGAATATTAATATATTCCCTCAATGATCGCAGACAGAAAGAATAACAATTTTCACACATCGCCGAGTAGCGCAGCTCGAAATTGAAACAATTTGCGCTCCCCAAAACGGATTTGCGAAAAATGTGAGGAGCTAAGCTCAATATTCCGGACACTTGAGTGCGCATGCGCACACCGCAGCACCACGGGAGGATCGGAGGATCGGAGCAAGTCGGAGGAAACGGGAGGAGGTGGTTTCCACCCTGCCCATCCAATCTCAACCTGGACGAAGCCACTCGAGTTGTTGCAAATATATGAGTGGCCTCTTGACAGACATCGCCGTCGTGGAAGCTCAAACTGCGCCACTCGAGGGCTCTTCGTGCCCCTTTGTGGCAGGCAGCCTGCTGCAGCTTCCTGTGGCTTCACCAGCTCAGCTCAGACATGCAAAAATTTCTCACGCATCGCCGACAGATGTTGTTGTTGTGGGTTTGAGCAAGCAAATCTATCAAGATTTTAAGAAATGCATATACAAAGAATAGAATTTCAAGTTTGACATTTTAAATAATTAGAAGTTGAATAACATTTTTAAAACAATTTAAATAAATTTTTATCATCCTGCCTATCAATTCGATTTTAGATAAGTTCCAGCAGAAATCTAATAAAAATGTAAAATGTTAAGAAATTCTTAAATAAATGAGAGGATTTAGTTATTCTTATATCCAATGATAAAACAACAAAAACAGTTAAATTAACTAACTTGAAAAATTCTTTAAAAATCAATAAAAAAAACTAGTCCTATTTAAAACAAGAAAAGTGTTCAACATTAAAAAAAAAAACAAACACACTGTGAAAAAAAATAGACAACAAAATAATTTATAATTCCCCGTCTTTTTTATGCAAAGCAAGTGTAAAAATAGAGGTTTTATTTACCATATATGTATATAAATAAAAAACATGGTTCATTTATTTATTTTCAGTGCGAATTTAAGTTTAAGAAAGTTTCGATGAAGTAAAAACATGTAACATTAAACATCTTTCCTACAAAATATTCGCATTAACCTTTGTAGCTACTTAGCTGAGGTCACGCCCTTGGAGGTCTAGAGCCGCTCCCCCAAGGGGAAATTAAAAGATCGATTTCAATAATACCACATTTGCGAAATTTTCCCGCAGCTGCCTCGGAAAACACTCGAAAAACCAGCCAGCTCAGCCATGCAAATTTGCAGATATTTCAATAATAACTCGACTATTAGATGACAACTGAATGGAAACAGTCGCAACTCTCAAGTGACCAACATGCAGGCCTCCTTGTGGGTTTCTCGCTGCTCCAGGAGAATGAAAGAAACGCCACGCCTCTCGCTGGGTTCAAATACAAGAATTCAAATCCGAATCCCATTCACAATCCGCAGAACAAAGGCCGAAGGAAATTCAAGGAAAGCAACAATTGCCGCACACGATAAACCACTTGAGTAATCAATCAAAGCGATAGGGAAACCCAGACGTCGACGTCTTGTAATGAATATTTAAAGATGGAAATTATCGCAATCCGACAAAGGCCAAGGGGGCAGGACAAAGGGGCAAGGTCCCCGGCATTTTGCATAACTGATAGTCGGAACAATAGACCAATATCGGGGATTGGAAATGCTTTGCATACTCGAGCACCAACGAGCATAATGCGATAATTTGAGCACAAAAGTGCCGGCCAAGGGTTTTCGGGCATCTCGGTTTTGCCATTAACATCTTGCTGCCTCTAATCGCAAATGGGAGTGCAGCAGAAACATATTTCTGTAATCAATACCGCGGGCAAAATGGAAAGTTCTGAGAGATCGCCGGACTCGCTCAAGTGAGCAAATGTCCCGAATGAGAAACAAATAACAAAAAGCCCTGAAGGACTCGCAGGATCGCAGGAGTGCCGTCGTAGGGTTGTTCTCCTCTCGAGACCTTTGTGGTATGTATCGCAAGAGTGACGTCTTATTTGTGCCAGACGAGGGTTAAGAACTTCGTTTTTTAAGAAAAGAGGTTCTGCCTTCAGTACCTTCCCCCCGAATTCCATTTCACACCATTGCTCGGCGATTGTTTGCTAAATAGGCTCTAATTTCTAATTATTGAAGTGATCCAATCAGGGGTTTATTATCCAATAATGATTACTAATGTGGGTATTATTATTTAAAGACATATGTGTTAATACATTAACATATAAAACAGTAAGTGCAAAATATTCCAGTTATATATGTTATATTATTTATACTTAATTTTTATTTAACTTATTACAATTGTTGGTTTTTTCAGACTACATTAAAAATATATTTGTAAAAATGTAAATTCTTTTAAATACTAAATAAAAATGTACAAGGTTTTTAAGAAGTTATAAAACTTATAAAGTTTCTTTAAACCTGATTCGTATTACTTCTTTATATTTGTAATTTATCTTTATGTATGAAACCTTTGTTACATTATATTGATATAATTTCAAAGAGCTTATTATAAATTCTTTCTTAATTACTCCCTTTAAACGAAAGCCTCTTACTTCACAGAAAACTTAACAATATTTTTTATAGCCTTAACATGCCGATAAACTGGCAAGAAACAATGCAAGAAACTCCTCCCAACTTAATTTTCGGGTTTTACAATGGGAATTGATGTGCACAAGGCCTAGGGCAAACCCTCAATTGGCTTCGGTGGCAGGGGCCCTACCCCCAAGCCCGAATCCAAACCCAGTAAACAAACTCGGAAAGGGCTAAGTGAACCCTAAAACGAAAGTCTCCTCGGACATGAGTTCGTAATATTCGCCACTTAATTGAGATTAATTGAAGTTATGCGCCCGATCTGAATAAACAACTTTGCAGCCATTTTGTTTATGGCTGCGTTTTATGTGCACACACAACACACAGCCAGCCCAAAAAATATTATTAATAATTACAAGAGCGAGGCGATGGCACCCCGAAAAATAGTTATAGAGCCGAACCCTCGGCAGACAGAAGTTTGATTAAATTAAATTGAGTGCGACGGAGTTTGTGGAGCAGCGGAAGCCAGACATCAGCTTGAATATGTGTGTATCTTTCAGATACATTTCTCTCGCAAATCAAACGCCATTGAGCCAGCCAGTTTTTCGGATGCCGAGGTGAATGCACTCGCATTCTAATGTTTATGATGTGTTATGGATCCTCTGAGTGCCCCTTAATTGGTGGATTGCTCTGGATATAGCGTGCATGTTAATAGCCAACGCTCGTTGTAAGTCACAACTAGCAATTTAAGCTAATTGACATTCAAATGCAGTTGAATAAACTTTTTGGGCAATCATTGTTATATAGCAGGTCGTTGGCTTCTGTAGGTTCTATTTTTGTAAATTCTGTAGATTCATTTGTGGACTTAGTGCACCACAGGATCATCCATCATCAACCCCATCGACAGATCGCGCCCATCATTTATAAATTGCCGCATCGAATAAAGCCAAACGCTTGAGTAAATCCACTTAATTGCCGTCTGCCTGCGCGAATCACGGGTCCTTGATGTCCGTGAAATTTTGTTTCTCCTGGAAGCCCAGCCTTCGCAATCAGTTGCTAAAAAAAAGAAGTAAAAAACCCCATGTTAAAAAAGGAGTACGGATGTGTTCGCACTCGTGTAAACATGCGTTTGTCATTAGACACACCGGAAATATTGACAGCATTCGACACGCGGCGCACGACCATCCTGAATCTATCCTGAGTCCTGCGAAAAAGGAACTTGCCACTTTATTTGCCATTTGATTTTTTTAAATTGTAAAATTTTTTCAATTCAACTGGCTCTCGATTGTTTTGCCAAGTTTCGCTTTTGCGCTTGAGTAAACAGCGTTAGATCTTCGAGGCAAAAGGATCGGGTGGTTTTATTTTATTTTTCGTTTTTAAGAGAGGGGTGTCCTTGTCCCTTTTTTCATGTATCCCCGTACGTGTGTCCTTTGTCTGGGCATCTTTGTTTGGCCTGAAGTGTCGTCGCCATGTCGAATTATCGTGTTTTTTAACTGAAGTACCTGAAATTTTACAGTTTCAACTTCGGGTTTTTTAATTCCACAGAGAGAGAGTTTACTAATTAGATTTTATTGCGTATCGCGAATCGCTTTGTCATTGATGGCAAGTGTGAAGAATCTTCTCTTTTTTACGGTGTGAAATTTTTGCCAGGATCAACCGATCTTCTTTCTTGGCCGCATTTTATTGGGACTTTGATTGGACATTCAAAAAACATTTGCAATGGTTTCTAGGAATTTTTTCCAGCTAAATGCCACGCGCTTCTAAACAATTGAAGCAATCCTGGGGCTTGTGGAATTTCCAGAAGGACATGCGGGTATCTCTCGATAAATTGTGGGAGAATACTTGTAAATGTGATGTAATCCAATGCTTTAATTTCCACAAACACAAAACAAATGCAAATAATATGCACGAGAAAGTATTTGGGCAAAAATTTGAAAGAGAATACCAAAAAAGAATATTTAACGTGGGAAAATATGAAAATATTTCTCCCTCGTAATCCTTCTGGTGGACAATGAACAAGAGACAATGGAGCAGTGTGAAAATAAATATTCCATAGATGTAAGCCCATTAACGAAGTAGAGAGAAATATACACACCTGACCTCAACTCAACTCAGATCAACTCATTTGACCCGAAACTCGGTTTGTTTGGACAGATTAGTGAGCCAAGCTACTTAGCCGGCAATCGGTCGGATCACTTGTCCCGAAAATCGGTGAGTGTTTCGAGTCGCCTTTACATTTCAATTTTCCATTTCCCATTTTCCGAGCCCACTGTCCGATGTCCAATGTCCGATGTCCGCTATCGAGGTCCTGCGATCTCCCCTGTTTTTAGGGCCCCATGCGGAGTGTGAAAGGTATTATCGCATTGACTCGATCTCTCATGTTGTCGTTTATGTTTTCAGTTTCATTTATCAGTTTGTGGAAATGCCAGGCGAACAATGAGAAATTATGAGACTTGCTTTAAATCATTTACCATTTAACATTGCCATGATCCTCGGACGGGGTTGTTCTAAGTTCCTCATTGGCCACGTTATCTGATCGCTGGGATCTGGCATTGGGATTTTCTCGTCGTTAGTTGCCAATTGAATGATTTCCTATATGCGGTTTTAATTGCGGCACAGTTGACTTTTCCTATCCTCTAACTTTTTCCAAAGGGAAGTTCCGTTTAATTAGCTGCGAATTGTTATTCGACTGCGACTTTCAGATGGCCGATGGTTGATAAGCTTCCGGACGAAAGGAAAGCGGAAAACTTTCTCTGCTCCCGGGGATTTGAGGGTAGTACTGAAATAAAGCGACGTAATGATCTACCGATCGATGACTACCAGTCTTTATGATGGGTTTATGAAAGTTTCCCTTCAGCAATTGTTTGAACAATAAATAACAACATATTTGTGGAGAAATGCAAAGAGCAGGGGAAAGGGGAATGTTTTTGTAAAATATTTGTAGAAAATAAAAGTAATCCCAGTTCGAAAGGAATACTCAATTGGCAGAAGATCTATTTACATTAATTATCACATTTATTTAATTTAAATCCATTGTACTGTATAAATTATACCAAATATTTTTAAACCAGCAAAAAAGGTTTTTAGTTGCATACATTGTTCTAATAAATAAAGTTGTTTATATTATTATTTGATCTGAAAATTGAATTATTTTTTATTGATCACTCTAAATATTACTTCAACATTAAAGTTTAGTTAGTTTAGTTTCACATAGTTCAAAAATCTCTTCAGCACTCACATATTGTGAATATGCACTGCCATATGTTTGGCAATCGTTATAATCCATGGCCAAATCCCTTCAGAACCAGCCACTAAAATCTATCTGTCAGGGGCGTAACTTCCCACGACACCGCAGACGGATAGGGTAGAAGTGGAATTTACGATGACATTTATGCGTAATTTTTGGACGCATTTTATAGCCGCAATCGGAGTGTCTCCCAATGGGGAAGGAAAGAGTTCCACTTTCGAATGGATCCCGCAGAGAGAGTGTCAAATAAATTTGATGGGAAAGTGATTGGCGGTAATTGAAACGGAACAGTTAATTTCGGGCATCATTAAAGCGACACACCCACCTTGAATCCTTGAATCCTCGAATCTGGAACCAGGTAGGATTTGCTTCGCCGCTCAGCTTCATGATATGCAACGTCATGACTTTCTTCCGTGTCAACGCCCCTCGATTCTCGATTGCTGCACCCTTTTCCCATTGTCCCAGCGTAATCCTTTGAGTTCCTATCGCGTGCTACGATCCTCATCTGATCCTGGATCCTTGGTGCTTGGTCCTTGGGCGACTCCTTGCCAGAAAGGCGCCGCGGGTTGCTCGCTCAGTTCGTGTCATAATTGCATGGCATTCGGAAGTGTGAAAATTATGGAGTTTCCTCCTCACCCTTTCGGCATCTTAATGATTATGTTTGTTTCCTTTATCTTCGACTTGAGATCACCGAAAAAAGGGGCCCAAGGAATTTGTTTGCCAACTTTGCTTCATTCATGTGCCTGAGTTATGGCTGAGTTTTGCTCTTGGGTTTCTAGGGGTTGGTTTTCCTCTTTGGGATTTCTTATTTTTGATTTCCATTTTTTGCGTGCTAAATTGTGTTTTACGATCGGCGTTTTGATCTCAGTTTGGAGATATCGTCGGGATCCCGACGTTTCGGTTTCTTATTTTTTGCAAGCGTTTAATTTTTTATCGCTTTTCAGATCGTGAGAATTGGTTCCGTTAGTTCTATTTTGGTCTATGAGTATGTTACAAACATCTAATGTCTTTTTCTTAATACTTTGTAATACCTAATAGCTTCATCAAAAATTAAAAACTATTAATACTGACACCAAAAACTTTTAACCCTAAATATCATGCTTCAATTAAATATAATGGAAATTTTAATATCAAAACAATGATGGGAATTTTTTTAAAAGGTTTAGATAAGAAACAAAAAAGTGAAAACATGTTCAGCTTTATGATAGTTTATTATAATCGATTGAAAATAAATACTAGGTTATAAAAAAACACTACAATTTTAGTAACTCAATATGGTATAAAAGTATCTTTTCTGTTATTATATTACATTAAAGTGATCCAGTTCTCTTTTTTATGGAAGTTTTAAAGGCAAGAACAAAACGTATTTTAAATTTGTAAAAGCCTTTAGTTGAGGAACTGTTAATGCCTTTCCCCGGAAACTCCATTTTGTTTCGAACTCTTGTTTGCCCTCCGACCATTTCACATTGTTCCCCACTCCGAGTGGCAACTCCCGAGTACGAGAGCAAATAGGCACGACCACTGGCATCTGCCGGCGACTGTCGCCAGGTGTACCCATCATCAGAACTCATCCCCATCATCAGAACTCATCCCCATCTCCATCTCCATTAGCGTTCCCCATTCCTGTTGTAAACGCTTTTTTCAGAACTTAATTAGCTTTCGCCGGGGGTTGGGGTTCTTCGCCGGCGAGTGCCCCAAACCACTGGTTTCATATCGTACAATTATCCAGTGGAGCGCGTGCTGCAACCGCAGGTGCTAGAGGAGCACAGCAATTGCCATGTTTGCAGCTCCCAGAGCTCACTACTCGGCTTCCAGCTCCCCCATCCTCCAGTTTTCCCTATACCATTTCCCCATTCTCCAGCTGCTGCTGGTACTACCAATCAGACCTGCTGAGAAACGCTGCTCTCACACACAAAATTCAGTAGTGGATAAAGCGGATAAACCGCACACAAAGGCACCAGAGAACTGGAAGTCGACGGGCCAATGGGCAACTGGCATTCAGATCGAGCAACCCTCGTGCGATTCGACCGCTGGCAACTTAACTGCGATGCGCAGAGCGGGCCCAGTTAGTCAGCCTTGCGCAGTCGATGCGAACGGACGCGTCGCTCCAGAGAAAAGTTGAGAAAAAATATAGGAAAAATATATAAGGAAAATATATACGAAAAACAAATACAAATTATACATATATAACAAACAAAAAACTAAAGAACATAGCAAGAACAAACTAAACAAAACCGCGTGTGTGTTAAGTTAAACAACTAATTGAAAAACCCCTGTAAAAATGGTTTTAAACGGCATGCAAATCTCAATGCCAGTTCCCGTGCCAGTTCCCATGCCAGTGCCCAGTCCTCCGGCCACCAAATCCCGCGTGGCCATCGACTGGGACATCAATGACTCCAAGATGCCGTCGGTGGTGGAGTTCGATGACTTCAGCGATTGGGCGAATGGACACTGCCGACTCATCTACTCCGTGCAGAGCGACGAGGCCAGGAAACATGCCAGTGGATGGGCCATGCGCAATACCAACAATCACAACGTGAACATCCTGAAGAAGAGCTGTTTGGGAGTGCTGCTCTGCAGTGCCAAGTGCAAGTTGCCCAATGGAGCCAGTGTTCATCTGAGACCCGCCATTTGCGACAAGGCGAGGAGGAAGCAGCAGGGCAAACAGTGTCCCAATAGGTGGGTTTCCTACTCAAATACAATCTAAGTAATATAAACTAACTTAATATTCTTGTTTAAATAGAAATTGCAATGGTCGATTGGAAATACAAGCCTGTCGAGGTCACTGCGGCTATCCAGTTACCCACTTTTGGCGCAGAGATGGCAGTGGCATCTACTTTCAGGCCAAGGGAACCCATGATCATCCCAGACCGGAGGCCAAGGGATCCACAGAAGCCAGGCGACTTTTGGCAGGAGGCAGAAGAGTGCGCAGTTTGGCAGTGATGTTGGCCAGGGAATCTGCCTTGAGTGATAAACTAAGCAGTCTGAGACCCACAAAACGACAGGCGAAAACCCAGCTTATTCAGGAAAATAAACGCAGGAGGATGGCCGAAGCAGAGGTGACCCAAACCAACCAGGATTTAGTAGGAGCCACCAACTATCTGCCCACATCCACGCCCACGCACAGCAGCAACTTCAATCAAACGCAGGCAACTTATGTCGCAGGATCTGTGGCAAGTCAGTGGAATGGAGATATGTACTACGAACAGGAAGGATCTACTTATGCCAATGGAATGTACGCCTATGATATGCTACATTCGCCACTTTCCGCGCACAGTTCCACGGGAAGTTACTACCAGGAGAACCTGCCGCAACAGCAACTGCAACAGCAGCCACATCCGCAGCAGCAGCAGCAGCAGGAGCAGCAACTTTCCCCGCAGCAACACGCACCGATTAACTACGATCAGTCGGTGGCCTCCAGCTTCCAGTGCGGAATGCCCTTGTACGAGAGCTGTGACGACACCTCCAGCCTGACCAGCAGTTCGGGTTACAGTTCCGAGGACTACGGATACTTCAATGGATATCTGCCCAACTCGCTGGATGTAAGCAACGCGAGTCAGAGTCAAAATCCCAGCCAGGATGGCAGCTTCTACACAACCAGCTCGGAGATCTTCAGCGTGTTCGAATCAACATTAAATGGCGGAGTGTCGAGTGGAGCTGTGGATCTCCTCTACAACGATGGAAGTGCCTACCAGCAGCAGTCGAACTTCCTGCCACTCGCAAGCTACCAACAGGATCCGCAGGATCAGCTGCAAACCGGCGACTATTACTACAGCAACTCGGGAGTGGAGAACGGATGGAACATCCAGATGGACGCGACATATCAACCGACCACCAGTGCGGATCCCACATACTGCTAGGGAATCGGAGGAGGATATATGGTACCCTACCCATCAGATCTCCCAACCAAAACCACATTACTGAGCCACTCAAGCGTTGTTCTAGTCCCTAGTTGATTTCCATTCATGTTCCCATTGCTTGTTGGTCCTATTATTACGTATGAAATATTGTATTGAACGTTTCTAGTTTGTACTCTTGTACTTGTTTCCCAGCTATTCCAAAGTTATAGAGCATTTAAGAATCGTATTTGTATCCTTTACGTGTAAGCATTTAGATCGTTAAGTCACATTTCCCACCTATTTATGAACTTTTGTGTAGTAATAAACATTTTTTGAAGAGAAAACTTAAATCAAAGTAAGCTCTTTTAATGCTTTGCTTCTTAAATTTGAGTCCAAGTAACCCTTTTTTGCTTTGTGTCAGGCATGAGAAGCATTTTGGGTCAGTATACTTTCTTTTTTAGCAAATAGCACATGTAAGGCTTTTCTGAGAAAAACGAATACAAATTTTTCAAGTCAACAAAAATTTCTCGAAATGGTTGGTCCATTTAGAAAACCTAAAGTTCCACGACCCAGACGGCAGCGTAGAGCTTTGGTAGTGAGTAATATATGTTAATATTTGGCTACAAAAACTACAAAAAATTTCTTGTTTTTGTGAAAAGCTTCCCCAAGCACCTGGACAGAGAAACAGGCGGCCCCGTTTAAATTCTTTGAACGCAAATAACTCTCAAAGAGTCCTGCAATCGCCGCTTACTTCTGGTGGAAACTCGCCTGAAAATCGACGTCGAGAGCAAAATGCCAGGAGGAATCGTCAACGTAGAGCCCGAAATCGTAGGTCCGGTTTATTAACGCAAGTCGAGAACCAGTCTGCTCCACCGCGGATTGGATTATTCGAAATGAATACATTGCTTCAAAGAATTCTGCAACAAGGCGATGATTTTGTGCGACAAATAATGCAATGCCCTTTTTTTCGCAATTCATCTCGGATTTGAGAAACCGTGCTTCTTCGAACCCCGCTTCCGTGGTACGATTGAGTCCTTCTTTACGTCACAGTAAGTCGTACTTCACATTTGCAATAACTTATAATTACAGCGAGGTGAAAACCTGACCATAGTTCTTCTTATCCCGAGTCGAATTGATGCTTTAATTCAACCCGAGCAAAGTTTGTTGCGAGAATCTCAGGTTGCCAATGACAGTGTTCAAGTTCAAAATGCACAGGAAGGTGTTCCAAATGCAAATGAAAATTCCTGTTATGAAAATCTGGATAAGAAAATTCAGGGTGCCAATGAATTAAGCCCTGATAATATCAAAAATGGGAGTGATCAAAATCAAGATATTCAGGATGCAAGTAATCAAAGTCAAAATACGGAAGTTAATGAAGGCAATGAATGTGGCAATAACCTAATTTTGCACCAAGATATTCGGTATACAAGTACTTCAAATCCAAACCAGGAAAGACAGGATACGAGAGTTAATGATGCCAACGAAAATGGCAATGGTCAAAGCCTTAACCAGGATATTCAGAATGCAAGCAGTTCAAATCCAGATCAGGAAGTTAATGCAGACAATGAAAATCGCAGTGGTCAAAATCTAAATCGGGATATCCAGTATGCAAGTTCAAACCCAGATCAAGAAGTAAACGCAGGCAATGTAAATAGCATTAATCAAAATCAGTATCAGGAAGCCCAAGAAGCCAATAAAAATGGCAATGATGCAAATCCGGAAAACAACGATGACAAAAATGACCCATGAATTCTTTATTCAAGCTAATCTAGATAAGTTTGATAAGCGAAGATATACTTGTACTTTCTAGATTTGTAAAATTTGTATGTCATTAAAGCGTATTTTCCCACTGGGTTTTATAAAACATTTTTAAGACCAATCCTTTTCCAAAACCCGCATTTTATTTGTATTTATTTTATGGTTTTTTACATAACATTTTTGTTGGAGAAAAAACAAGTTGTATACTCATTACATAACGCATTGTTTTATATCTTTCTTAAAATAGCTTGAAATATAAAACTCCCTTTAGCGAACATATTTTTTTTTTTTTTTAGCGCATAGGCCATTCAAATAAAATTTGAAATTGAATTTCCACCGGCAATCAAATCAAGGGTCGATTAAGGGCTCACCTCCTGTCAGAGGCCACTCAAATATTTGGATATTGGTTCCGAGTTTTTTTTAAACCGATTATAAATAATTAAATTTATAAAAAAAAAGGTCGGCGGAGAGGAAGGGGTTGCAAGTACTCGACCCTAATGGGGGTTTGAGATCGACCATAAACAAAACGCCCATTAGTTGTCATGTTGCAGGATAAAGTGTGCCGCTGACGCGTGCGACCTTCAAGGATATTCGCACACTCGAAATACTGAAACACAAAAATGAGGAATGACTTTGTTTCGAAGGATATTTGCATATATAATTTCGAGTGCGGCTGCGTCGTACCCTTGCCTAAATGAAAACATTTAAACTGTTTTGATTCCGTTTATGTTAATTTCCAGCCATAAATCACAACAGAGCGTGTGCTTCCTGTCGCAGCAGCCTTCGTCCTGCAACAATATTTGTCCTGGCTGTTTGATTAGCCCTCAACCCGAAACCCTTGCATGCAAATGAGAGCTCATCGGAGTCGCTGACTCCGCTGCTCATTTCGTGTTATCCTTGGGTGCCGAGGGGAGGAAGTCGAGATCGCAAAGGTATTATGCAAATTCACTGATGCTGATCCCATTGTTGCCGGTGTAATTCAATATTCGCGTGAATAAATGTGCGAATCCGCGACCTAAGTCCTCTCTGGCTGGGGTTTCAGCTATTGCGAAAACTAATTTCAAATGCAAATTCAGTGCCAATTTGTTAATGCAGATTTTCGCACACTAACGAAGCTATTAGAGGTTTAGGGTTAGCTCTATTTTATTGCAAATTTTAGAAATTAAAATGGAAGATATCTAGCTCTTGAAGAATAAAGACATAGAAGGCAAATGAATCAAAAACAAAAATTTCCTTTTAGGAAAGATTAGCTGTAGCTACAAAGCAAAAATATCGAGAATATTTGCGTAATAGATTTTAAATTTAAAATTTTTTTTAGAAATTCTTATAAACTGTGGGTTGATCTCTTGGTTTGTGTATGCTTTTCAATTTTTGGATGCTGTTTCCTCTTCCAATTGTTTCGCTTTTGATAAGCCCGCTGGTTGGAGAGGTCAGGTCAGTCAGTTCGTCACTCAGCCGTCTACCAGCATTTGACTGACGGACTTTTGCAGTTGACAAAACCGACAGTCTCGAGTGTGACTTTTTTGACTCTTCACACATCATGGGCGGATCAGCGGGGAAATCAAGGCCGCAGCTGCAGCTTCGGGGAAAAACGATTAACTATTTATTTTATAGTACATGCCACACAAAACGAGCGCGTCAAAGGCCACAAAGGCGTGTTGCCACAATAAAGCGCAGGGCAAATGTGGCGAAATCTCATCCGAACCTATTTAGGAGTGGCCACTTGAAAGGACAATGGCATCGCAACAAATGAGGCGCGGTTAATGCGGCTTCAATGAGTCCTAAGCCTGGACCAAGGATCCGAGGAAGCGACCTGAAAAATGCGAGTGACATGCGTGTCCCGCAAATTGTGTTAATGGTGCAAGCAACCTCCAGCGGGGTGGGTCAGCGTTTCAAATGCCCGCAAACAATGTCACTGGAAAAATCATAACTAGAGCTCGGATAGTTATGCACGAAAAAAGGCCAAAATATGCATGCAAATATGCACGAAAAATAGCAAAATATGCTCAAGAATATGCATTCAAAAAATACAATAAAATATGAAAGAATCATGCAAAAAATAGTCATAATATATTGGAAAAGGCGGTTCTTTATTTAAAAGCTAAAGTTTTGCACAGATTCACATTGAACTTCGACAAATTTGGTGTGGATTTGGTTCAAGATCCTATTTTAACGATTGGCTTCCCTGATCGGCATTTTCCTTCATTCTATCTTTGGCAGCTTTGTGTTTTATTGATGCAATATGCTGATTTACTTGGAATATTTTTTCCTTGAACTGCTCATTCACAATACGTACAAAATAAAACTGACCTATCAGTCCGAAATACTTTGGGGAATTCGACTTTCATACGCAGTATAAATTTGATTTAAAACAACCGATAACTTTGAATGCCACGAGACGAATGATAATTTAAGAATAATATAATAAATAATAAATATAATAATAATAAAGCGTTTATTATGATTAGTCATTGAGAATCCATTAATAAGTTATCAATGTACCTAGTGTTGATCATTTGATGAAAATAAACAACGTGAAAGTCAATTTACTTTCAATTCCACGCAATAATCTTATACACAATTAAATAGATTTGTAATAGAATGAATTAAGTTTTTTGTTGTTATTCGCATCAGAATGATTTTCATATGTCACAGCTAAATTATTATCAGTTTTTATGAATGAAATATTAAAATATGCTCGAACATGCACTTTCGATCAAAATATGCTCTAAGGAATGAAATATGCACAATATGCATGCAACATGCATTTGCATGACTATCCGAGCTCTAATCATAACACTCGGGATCGGGGATATTAAAAAAATACGGTTTAACTTTGGTTTTATTCTTGTTTTCACTATTGAATATTGGATCCTCAAAACAATGGATCCAGTGGCGCATGGTAAGTTATCTAAACCTTTAAAGTACATAAATTCTATAATTGGTTTAGTATTCCGGGATCTAGTATAATATCCTCACAATTTTAATTTGTCGTTAAAAACTTACTTTATAACAACGAAATAACAATATTAAAAAAAATTGTATCAGAAGATTTTAAAATATTTAATTTTATAATCTGTTAAATGCACAATACCTCAATATGATCGCTATTCTACTTTTTGTTTAATTTGATTCAAATTTCCAATAAAAATTCTGAAAAACTGTTATTTTTTATTTTTTCTTGCCACAAATGGCACTAACCTATTGCCATTTGGGGACTTAGATTAAAGCGCCACCTGGTGAGAATCGCTCGATATCTCTATAGTATTATGAAGAAGTTATCAGTGGCATTACTTAGTTATCGATATTCGGTCCAGGACTAGGGCTGCACAAAATAATTTTCAAACATCGTATAACGAATACCATCACTAATGTGCAACAAGTCAAATTGCCGCATCGTTTTTTTTAGCCAAGCAAATCGCGAGCACATAACTAACGGGGCAGGAGCAAAGTTCGTTAAACCACTCAGTAGATAATTAAGTATAAAGTGATTAGACCGATAAGAGTTTTAAACTTGAACGAGCAATGTCGGCGACGAGATTTCTGAGTGCCGTTGGCCAAATTTCGAGACAGCAATTGCTGCAGAATAGGTGCACGAAAGGTGGGTAAAATTGTATATTCTATTAATTACTAAAAGGATAAGTTTGAAAAAAAGGAAATATCCGAATGGTATTTGTCCCCTGATAAGTGGGGGGTATCGGAATCTAGCGGTATCTTTATAGTTAGCGAGCCTCCCCCGATGCCGCATAACTGGACTTTGCACTTTGTACTCTCTCTTGACGTAAAGCTTCTGTCTCTCGCTTTCTGTTTTTGATTGCTGATGTCTGATTTCTGCTTTCCGATTTTCGAGTGCCTCCGTGAGATAATGTCACCTAATCGTAACTTTGATCTTTATAACCCCACGCAGCCCTGCCCATTTCGATGAATCTTGTCCAGAATCGGCGACTAATGTCCACCAATCCTGCTCCGGCGTTGGCCAACAAGCACCTGCACACCAAGGTGGTGAATGGAGTGCTGGTCATCAAAATAGACTCCCCCAATGCCAAAGTTAACTCTCTGGGTTCCGAGGTGAGCGATGAATTCGAGCGGGTGATCAAGGACCTGGAAACGAATCCTGCCGTGAGTTCAGCTGTGCTGATCTCGGGAAAACCAGGATGCTTCGTGGCCGGAGCCGATATTGGAATGCTGGAGAAGTGCGAGACGGCGGAGGAGGCCACCCTGATCTCCCACGGCGCCCAGTTGATGTTCGACCGGATGGAGCGCAGCAAGAAGCCCATCGTGGCCGCCATCAGCGGTGTTTGCCTCGGCGGAGGATTGGAACTGGCTCTGGCCTGCCACTACCGCATTGCCACCAAGGACAGCAAGACCAAGCTGGGTCTGCCGGAGGTCATGTTGGGTCTCCTGCCCGGCGGCGGTGGCACTGTCCGCCTGCCCAAGCTCACCTCCGTTCCCACTGCTCTCGATCTGGAGCTGACCGGCAAGCAGGTGCGTGCCGATCGCGCCAAGCGTCTGGGCATTGTCGATCTGCTGGTGGAACCCCTCGGTCCTGGACTTCAGCCCGCCGAACAGAACACCATTGAGTACCTGGAGAAGACCGCCGTCCAAGTGGCAAACGATCTGGCCAGCGGAAAACTTCGCGTAAGTTTGTTTATCTACTTAAATTAAATAAAAAAAATTCATGTTTTTTAACCTCTGACACAGGTTAATCGCGAAAAGAGCGGTCTGGTCAACAAGATCCAGTCCTTTGTTATGGACACCGACTTCGTTAAGAACAAGATCTTCGAAACTGCCAAGAAGCAAGTACTGAAGGCCTCCAACGGTCTCTATCCTGCTCCCCTCAAGGTAAGTGATTCGACAAACTCCCTTTACTTTTTTGCTTATTCAAATTTTTCCAAAAGATCCTCGATGTGGTCCGTGCTGGCGTGGATAAGGGAAGCGAGGCTGGTTACGAGGCGGAGCGCAAGGGCTTCGGCGAACTGTCGGCAACTCCCGAGTCCAAGGGATTGATTGCCCTCTTCCGTGGACAAACTGAGTGCAAGAAGAACCGTTTCGGCAAGCCAGCGCGTCCAGTTAAGACTGTTGGTGTTCTGGGAGCTGGTCTCATGGGTGCCGGCATCGTTCAGGTATCCGTGGACAAGGGCTACCAGGTGGTGATGAAGGATGCCACCGATGCCGGTCTGGCTCGTGGTATTGGCCAGGTCCAGAAGGGTCTGGAGACAGCCGTGAAGCGCAAGCGAATCACTGGACTTGAACGCGACCAGACTCTTGCCAACCTGCGACCCACTCTGGATTACAATGACTTCAAGAACGCCGACATCATCATCGAAGCTGTGTTTGAGGACATTAAGGTCAAGCACAACGTGATCAAGGAGCTGGAAGCCGTTGTTCCCGAGCACTGTGTTATTGCCACCAACACCAGCGCCATTCCCATTAGCAAGATTGCAGCGGGAAGTTCGCGCCCCGAGAAGGTTGTTGGCATGCACTACTTCTCGCCCGTGGATAAGATGCAGCTGCTGGAGATCATCACCCACCCAGGCACCTCCAAGGACACCGTTGCCCAGGCCGTGGCCGTGGGTCTCAAGCAAGGCAAGGTCGTCATCACCGTGGGCGATGGACCCGGCTTCTACACCACCCGCATCCTCGCCGGCATGTTGTCGGAGGCTATAAGGTTTGTTTCGCTTTTAAACCTTAAAATAAATGTAAACCTTAAATCCCTATTTCAGACTGCTGCAGGAGGGCGTGGACCCCAAGGATCTGGACCAGTACACTAAGAAGTTCGGTTTCCCCGTGGGCGCTGCAACTCTTGCCGATGAGGTTGGCATTGATGTGGGTTCCCACATTGCCGCTGATCTGGCCAAGGCTTTCGGCGAGCGATTGAGCGGAGGCAACCTGGAAGTGATGAACGACCTCGTGCTAGCTGGATTCCTTGGACGCAAATCCGGAAAGGGAATCTTCTTGTACGATGGACAGAAGCGAGGCACTCGTCCGGTGAACAACGATGCTCTGGAGATTGTCAAGCAGAAGTACGCTCTGGTTTCCAAGGGAGCCAACACGCCCGAGGATCTGACTCTGCGAATGGTGTCGCGCTTCGTCAACGAGGCTGTGATCTGTTTGGAGGAGAAGATTTTGGACAGTCCGCTGGAGGGCGATGTGGGCGCCGTTTTTGGTCTGGGCTTCCCGCCATTCTCCGGCGGACCCTTCCGCTGGGTGGATCAGTACGGAGCAGGCAAGCTGGTCACCAAGATGCAGTCCTATGCTGAGCTGTACGGAGTTGCATTCAAGCCCGCCCAGACCTTGCTGGACATGGCCAAGGATCCGGCGAAGAAGTTCTACCCCAAGACTGGCTCTTCGAAGTTGTAGATCCGATTTAATCCGATCCCCAGCTCCCCGATGATGCCGCCAACGAAAATTAGCTTTTAGTGCGAAGATAGGGAGCAGTCCCTGTGCATTTCTCTTAGAGAGGAGTCCTTTGCGGTGCACCCGCTGCCTAGAAAGTGGGGCGAGCCCATGCGAAAAACCCTCTGTTCAAGTTGTCGAGTTTATAAATTAAAGTTTACCGTGTAATTTTCCATACTCTCACTTGTTTATTATTTTACACAGCAGTTTGATACACATCTTATTCTTTAACTCTCTTTGCTTGACTTAATCGGAAACAGCTTTGTACATCAATTCTATAGCTTTAGCTTTAGCAGTTGCATATTTACACATTTCTTAAATTTACTTTACGCTCTATACGAAAATGACAAGAAACTTGGGAAAACACAGTTTGCAATTGAAAATCTGTTATCAAATTATCAATTACAACTTGCGTTCTAATATATTTCTTGTCTGTTTAATATAAAGTGTTAAATGGCTTATCAGGAATCCTATGATTTCACATTCGTTAAAATGTGTTCGATTTCTTTAAAGAGACAACATAAATTTAAAGATTTTTAAAATGAAGTGCAAGTATTTATTGAATGTTTTATTTTTAGTTTAAAATTATAGACATATTTGTTTATTTAACAGTTTTAAAGATTATTCAATTTTTAAAATCGAACATGAATCGAATGTAAAACCATTTGATGCCTTTATAGACTTACTCATCTTATTGAGCGCACACAACACATGAACAGTGAGCGAAGTGAAGTTACCGATTACTAATGGCACCCACTCCAACTTAGTCCCACCTTAGGTAACTAACTAAACGTATCATATATCTAGTTAAGGGTTAGTGACTTTCCGTTCCTTCACTGCTTCCGCCAATCCCGTCCAGAACTGCGTCTCTGATGCTTTACGGAGCCACCATTGCTGCTTCCCCCGCTGCCGTTTACCACACTGGCTACTCCTCCTCCTCCGTTGCACTGATCCTGAGCAGGATAACGGGTTACGACATCGTCGATCAGCTCCAGGATACCAATCTTGAATTTGCGACGCTGCTGAGGAGTGAGAGCCGCCAGATCGGGAAGGATGCTGCGGAAGAACTCCATATCCGCCACTTCAGAGGAACTCAGACCGCCGTAGAAACTTCCCGCTGTTGTCATCGTGCTGGTGGCCTCACACTCTGTTTTAATCCTTTTGCTTCCTGGTTCAAAGGACGACGGGTGGTGTTCCATTGCCAAGGACAAAGGATGTGGATGCGAGTGCGGGTGGTAATGCAGAGGTGGTGGTGTGCCACGCCCGCTATCATTGTACATGAGTTGGGAACCAGTCTCGGCCAGCTGGACATCCGGAATGAAGTTCTTCATGCTGTCCGCACTGGCGGTGTCGCTCCTGGTTGGCGAACCACCTCCACTCCTCTGATGGGCGGTGCTGTGAGTGGGCGTGGACGGCACAGGCTTCAGGCCCAAGGAATTGGTCACCGCAGGATCGAAAGCATCGATGGTCTCCTCGTCGTCTTTCTCCGATATCGAGTACTTCATCTCCAGCGCCTCGTCCATGTTCTCATCACTATTACTGATGTTATTGTTGTTGTTGTTGTTACTACTCAAGTTGGCGGTGGCGCAGTAGATGTGTTCCTCGTGCGGATGGATGGCCGGGTGGATGAGGTGCGGCTGGTGGTGGTGCAGGTGCTGCTGGGACATCTGGTACAAAGTGGCCAGGCTGCTGTTGCCCTCCAGCGAGTTGCGACTGGACTTCAGGAAGGGCAGCAGGAAGGCCATGTGCTCGGTCAGGTAGTAGGGTTTGTGCTGCGGTTCCGATCCGGACTGCTGTTTTATGTAGCGGGAGAGGCAGGCGCGCAGGTTTCGCCATCGCTCCTTGCAGTGGATCACTTAAAAGGGAAAGGAATTTAATATTGATATGGTAAATATTTACAAAATCCCATTTTACTCACCACTCTCACGCGTTTCCTTGGAAATAAGCACCCAGGCTTTTTCTTGGTTGTCCCTATAAAGTATAAATAAAAAAGTTTACGATTACAATTTTGTTTTGTTTATTAAAATTAATTCTCAACAAAATGCTTGACATGTTTATATTCTTATCAGTTCAAATCATTTAACATAAAAATTCTTGTTGTCAAGTATTAATTTATTTTTGAATATTGATTAAAGATAAGGGTGTAATCTAATAGAATTCTTACAAAGGCTAGGAAATTGTCTCAACTTTTAATACAAGTGAACTGATAAGCGTTTCTGAAACTTTATAGATTTTATGCTTAGTGAACGTGATAATGTCAGAATTCCTGATTCGCCTTCAATCAAACAACTTTGTTTCTATTTATACTAATCTGAGTTAATTTAGTAGATGAATTTATCATGAGTTTTGTTTTAGGATTAACCATTTAAGGATTGATTTTATTTTGGAATAATATGTTGTTTTTACCTGTTGCGGTACTCCGGCACCTTCTTGTCGTAGAGACATTTGTGGGTGCGCACCAGGTTGACAAAGCGGATGTTGAAGTCCTCGTCCGCCTGCATCACTCGGTTCGTGGATCCAATGGAGGCTGCTGCGGTTCCGGATCCTGTTCCTGTTCCTGATCCTGTGGGACTGTGGTGGTTGTAGGTGGTGCTGCTGCCGGCGGTTCGCTCCTCGCGATCGTTGTTGCGGTTGTTGTTGCTATTTGTGTTGCTACTGCTGCGCGTTGAGGTTGTCATATTCGTGGGTTCTTTGAATGTTTCTCACAGCCTGTAATGAGTTAGTTAGATTATTTAACAGGATAAAGTTCACACAAGTCTTATGGAAACACGAGTTCATACATATATGAAAACAAGTTTAAGGCGGTTATTAGCTTGCACAGATCTTAACTTTCAGAAATAGAAACTTATAGTTTCGTTTGCCACTCCAATATTTGATTTTTCGACTTTCCTATCCATATTCCTATTTATTTACGACCAGGCAAACAAAGAGAATTCTCTTTGACTCTTGTTTTCTGTTTTTTTTTAAGCTTATTTCGCTTTTTGTTCTTGGGTTTTTGTCGTGTTATTTGTTTGTGTTGGTTTCTGTTCTGTTGCTGCTGAGACAGCAAACGACGAATAGAGCTTTTCGCTCATACATACATATATACATATATTTTTCGTGAAACTTAATAAAACATTGCGGCCGACATTGTTGTTTTTGCTATTATTTTCAGTCACGGTTGCCAGATTTGGCTCTTTTGAGCCAAAACTGGCTCTTTTTTTTCTCGTTGGCTCTTTGGCCCATTTTGATTGAATTTGGCTCATTTTTGCTAATAGCGATACAAAATATTTTAAATTAAAAGACGAACTCATTTTTTAATTAATGCATTTTTTTTTGTTCAATTTTAAAAGTGATTAATGTCTGAAATCTAAAAGTGCCAGATCGAAACTAAATTGCTCCGCTGCAGCGCGCTGGTATGGTAGCTCTAAACAAGTGTACTGGTGTAAATAGTGTACTGTAGTGTAAATTTGGCGTTTATTGTTGTGACTCAAAGTGATAAATTGTGCAAAATGGACAAGTAAGTAAAGAAATAATGTAGATTTGTGTATCTCAAATGCAATACACATAGCTAATTTATTCACATGCAGGTTTGTTTTAACTTCAAAAAGTTTAAATAAAACCGCGTTCCAGCCGCAAGCACATACTAAGACATTGCAGAAAAATCTTTTGTGATGTTTTTTATTACTTTCTTATGATAAAAGTTTAAAAAAATCAAAATAACTAATAAATAAAAATTTGGCTCTTTTTTATTCGAATTGGCTCATTTTTAGTCTTTTTTTGGCTCATTAAAATTTTTTGAAGTGGCAACCGTGTTTTCAGTACAGTTTGGCGAGCTGGAAAGCGGCAAGAAAACGGGCGACATTGCCGACGTTGAGTTGATGTTGACAACGGCGAAACGACGGCAGCAACTTTGTTTACTTTTCGTATTATTATAGCCAAAGCAGCAACAATAGCAGCGGCCGTAAAAATAACAGGCAAGTTTGCTGTTTGTGCTGCTTGCTAGTAGTTGTTGTCGTTGTTGGAAGCTGAAAGCTTTTGCCCGCTTCACTGATAACAGCAACAACGGCCAAAAAGCAGCAGCAACAGCAACAGCAGCAGCAACAACAACTGCAACAGCAACAGCAGGCAATGTTGTGTTGCAATATCCGAAAACATGTTGGCCGAAATGCATCGAATAGTCACGAATGTGTGTGCAGGTACTCACTCCGTACTCACTCACTCGCAAAACGATTCGCTCTCGCACCTGCGACTACCTGTTTCGATTCTAATCAGCCCACTCACCTGTCCACTCACTCCGTTGAATCTGTCCCCCCCCCTCGCACCAGCCCCCCAGAAATTCGGGGACAGTTGGGCCTCTCTTAAATCTCCAACAGTTTTCCCGCCACTTTCGGCACCTTGCGCTAAGCCCACCACTTTTGCACAGCGAAAAACGTGCGCACAGTGGTATGAAACTAAGCGGCCATAAATAATAGCTACTCATAAAAAACAATTTACAAGTGTTGTAAAAGAACCGCACAGTGATTTTCAACAAAGTTGGAAAATAACATGTAGTTTAGTATTTATTATTATTATTAAAACAGGTAAAAACAGGATGTTATAACCTCAAATTTAAGCCGGTTGCAAAATAAGAAGTGCAGAAAAGTAGGCTATGCTTTTGACGATCTGACTAACGGACGCTCTAACATTAAGAGACCTAAAGGATCTGCTTTGAATTCTTTACTACTCTTTAAATTGTTAATTAAAAAAAATTGATTGAATTGGTTTTAATACAAGCTTATTAAATACTTAAAAAATATAGGTTATGAAAAATTAAAAAGGGAGAATTTTATATGATTGAGTATTATTTGTGCCTAGTTATTATAGTAAAATAATCTTACCCTCAAACTAGTACTAAATCTCTAAAACTTAAGCACTCTGATCTTTTTTTTGGATTTTCGAGATACTTTCGGTACACTGTCATTTCAAAGTATTGTTGTGTTGTTTGGCCCGTCATCATTATTATCAACGAACATCATTATCAAGGCGAACGTTGTTCGCGTGTTTTGGTTCTACCCGTTGTTGTTTTTGTTAATGTTATTGTTGGATTGTTATGTACAACGTGGGCGGGGAAAATGGTAAGGCGCAAAAACTGAGCAAACAGCAGAAAAACAACTAACCTGGCCATAGCAATATTTATTGTATTACGTCTATTTAACATAAACATATCAGCATGAGCGTTGCGATGTGTGTTTGTACTTATTCTTTGAGAAATGTTCATGTTTATATATAAGCGACGGGGCACAAAAAAAGTACAGCTACCGCCCGAGCAACGTACAAAATCGAAAAACACAGAAACAGAAACAGCAACAGCCAAACAGCAAAAACCCAACCAAAAACAACAACAAAAACGAAAGAATATATTTCTAAAGCTAACAAAACACTCAGAAAACTTGCAGAAATCCCCGGCGCGCTCTTTGTTTCCCCTTCCCATAAAAATACAAGTATATATGTATATATGTATATATATATATATTGTATATTGCTTCGACAGCAACAGCAACAACAAAAGCAATAACTTTGTTAGATAGAGCAGCAGCAGCAGCAACAACAACAGCCAACAAGAAAACAACAACAATAGACACACTCACACAGAGACAATCGAATACAAGGAAACAATATGGCATATAGAATTTTTTGCTGCTGCTTATCGGAGTATTATTGTTGCTGTTGTTCTAACTTGCGATGTTGTGCGTAGCAGATTTCTTTACCTTTTCGTTTCTTTCTTTTTCGCGGAAAGGTTGTTGATTTCGAAAAACTCCCGACTCCTGGCAGGTGATTTCAAAACGCTCTTACTGAACTAGCTCCTTGTTTGCAACGATTTCAAAACGCGACACACAACCGCGCACAAATAAAACGGCGCCAAAAATATTTTTGTTGCTGCTGCAACGGCAACAACGGCAGCGACAACACCAACAACGACAACTCGACCGACTGACGTAACGTTCAAAAATGTTTAATTCGAAATCTCGCGGTCGGCGGTGCGCGGTGCTCGGGAATCGACGGCGGACTGTTGGATTGTCGGTCGGATTGTTGGCAATGTCGTATGTTTCGCCTTTCAAGCGACTGAGGCGACTAAGCACACAGAGATACAGCCACTGACACAGGCACAGAAACGACTGCCAGACAGCAGATACGAGAGCGAGCGATACACGTAAAGAAAATGTGTAACGTGAAATGTGTAGTTTTAGACATACATGGCAGACCCAACGATTTATAGAAATTTATTCATTTATTTTGACTTAATAGTCCTTATAATTTATTTTAATTTTTCTTTTTATTTTTTATCAATATGTATTTGTTATAGTGTCGAGCATAACATTTGTTTCGATATTAAAATTGAATACTAAATGAAATTATTATTAAAAATACAAATACAAAATATTTTAAAAATACAAATTAACTACCCGAAAGTATTATTTATCTATTGATCATTTTTACTGCGCATATGATTTTTAAATCTAACTGATTCTTTTCAGTGTAGCAGCCAGTATCTATTGGCTACGTAGAACTCTGAAGCAACAACACGACACGAACGAACGGCGAGCAAACAGAGAACATCGCACAAAACCCCGCTCTCCGCTCCGCACACACACAGATACTCACACGTACACACACACACACACACACCAATGTGTCAATACAAACACATACAGCTGGCGTTGAGCAGCAGGCAACTTTTGATTGTTGTTGCTGCCAACGAACAACAAATAATACAAACAATGCACACACACACGCAAGCCGAGTGTTTTCGTGCCAGAGAAACGGCAACTGCGCGGTACGAAATGCAAAGATACAGATGCAAGGGGAAGGGGAGGAACCCGTACAGGCCAACAAAAAATGTTGCACTGTGACCTGCAATGTTGCTTGTCAGCAGCGGTAAAGTCACCCCTAAAGGCTCCCGCAAAGGATCTTTCAGGATACCTGCAAGACTTTCAGTGCCCTTAACTGGACTTAGTGAAATATGAAAGAAAAACAAAATTTGCCAAAAGGCTAAAGGTTTTCTTGCTAAAATATTTTTTAGGTTCTCATAGTGGTGGCCCTAAAAAATTCTGCAACATAATTAACCATAGTCTAACAGAACTTATTTGGAAAGCAGCAACGCAATAATTAAATTCGATTTTCTGACACAAACTATTTGATTTGATTTTAAGGGTTTTTAGGAAGTCCAGATTAAAAATAATATTTTTGTCGGAAACAAGTGACCTACAAAAATTCCATTCTTATAAATCTTTTACTTCCATTTGCTAATCCCGGCAAAAAAAAAAACAAAGCCAAATCGAACCCAAATGGACTACCTGAAATTTACCTGCTGACTACGAGCGATCTTCGTTCCAGTGTGCACCTTCTCTAACTCTCAGGAAACATTGAAACAACGACAGTTGCTTACTCAGCGGCACACACATACTCACACACACACACACGCTGCCGCTCTCACGGAAACGACAACAGCTGCCGCTCTCAGAACAAAAACAAAACGAAGCAAGCAAACAAAACACATTTGTTGTTGCAAAAAAAGCTCTGGAAATTCTTTGCCGCTGCTGACTTCGCGGCTTTTGTTGTTGCTGCCCTTGTTAATAACAAGCTTTCCAATAAATGTTTACTTTTAAAAACAGGTTCGTTAAATGTCCGATAGATGTCGCTAGGTACTTCCGGTTTATATTTTCTATGCTCAAAAAATGTTGTATAGTTTTTAGAAAACTTTTTTAGCGTTTTTACCTTTAAAAAAAATATACAAAAATGTATATTAAATTCTTAATATTGGATATCAATAAAAATTAAAATTGGTGTTTTACATACAATTAAATAATTTAGAATTATGCTGCATCAAATGTTGTTCTCAAAATGCACTTTTTAAATAATACAATTTTCAGCATAATACATAATTAAATTCCTTTTCAAGTTTAAATTAGTTTAAAGTTATAAACTTTGATCTTTTTAATTTATGTGAAAGTAAAAGGTTTTCGGCTCTAACGGTCAACTGAGAATAGGATTATTCAAACACTTGTTAATGGGATTTATATGGGGAAAAGCTCTTCGAAGCTCGAAGCCTGCCCCAAAAGGACCCACACTTCAGCGATAAACTGCGCGTTTTCTGGCAGGGAAGCCAAAACGTTCCGCCTGACAGTCGAGCGCCACCCCAGTTATTTCCAGCACTTTAATGATTTGTTTACAACTTTGTTGCCCTGCAATTTACCGCTAGCATACGGACCTGCCAGCCTGCCAGCCTGCCAGCGCGCCAGCTTTCCACCCCTTTTCCTCGCCCTTCCGCCTGGAAAAGCTTTGGCCGTCGCGGGCCAGGATGTCGTGTCCTGCGTGTGCTCAAAAATTCAATAAAAAGGAGGCTCGTTTCTGTTGTGGCCTACATGCCAGCCGAGAATTCGGCTCGCAAGCCGAACGCAAGCCGAGGAAAACTTGGTCACCGGGTGGAAAATGGAAAACTAAAGTGAGAAATTGGGGGGAAGCAAGGAGCAAAGGGAGCGAGCAGAGAGCTTCCAAGTGCAGTCGAGCTCAGTTGCCACAGGACAGTCGAGGCGAGTGCTCGTCCTTGGTCGCAACGGGCTCCCGGAAAAGAGGTCCTTCGTCCTTTCGGTGACTGGATTGTTTTGGTTACGCGACTGAACAACTGTGTATGTGTGTGCGTGTGTTAATGTGTTAGCGTGTGACTGTGTGCTCTTAAAAATATACTCGCTATGAATTATTTACCCAAAACGAAAGCTGGAAAGTTTTGAACAGTGCGGCAAAAAGCGACGGAGTTGAGTCAGCGGAAAGTTTCGGCTCAAGCACTTTGACGGGCAATTTGCAGCGGCACCAAGGATGCAGCCTCCTTCTCATCTGGGATGTGGAATGCATTTCCCGCAGCGCAGTACGTGTCTCTCTCCCTCTCTCTCTCCCCCCTTCTGTCTCTTTCCCTCTTTAGCGAAAACCCCCCATCGGTTTGTTAGCTCTCTTTTGTTAGCGAGCGTGTAGAGTTTCGATTTCGTTAGAAAATCGAAACAAAAGCGGGTTACGTTCTCGAGGATTGTGGGTGTTGTTGCTGCGGCTACCTGTAGATGCCATATAAACACACAGATACGCGGCCGATAAGTGTGTGTGTGTGAGTGAGTTTGTCTATGTGTGAGCTGATAGCCAGTCCTTGAACGGGGCTTTCCACCCACATCCGTATCCGTGTCCATGGTTGCCTGCTTTCACTGCCCGCTTCCGACTCTAATTAATTTATAATTCAAGGTCCAATGCGCTGCCATTGAAGGTTAAACATGACGAACTAACGATTTTCGAATGGGGGGCCTTTCTTCTATCGCAACTTTTAAACCGCTCGCTGGCAGCTGTAATCGAGGGATTTCCGCGGAAGCTGCAGCAAACTTTTGGCCCAAGTATGAGTATGAGTATCGGCAGGAGTCAAGTTTTTCGCCGGAAATCGTGTAATCCGATAAAGTGGAAAGTTAACCGGGGATCATCTGGTAGTTAAGCGCACACAAGCTGTAATTTAATTTGGCTACCAGTTTCCGTTTCCCGCGAGACTCGTCGTAGGCAATTAGCCCTGGCTAAACAATAAACCTCTAGCCGAAAACTCGAAAAACACTTGACGTTCTAGAGTGGAAAACCCGCATTACGCATACGCCACATTGGCAGTCTGGCAACTTCGAGGTGCGCCTTTATTGGGCTCCCAAAGGGGGGGGGGTGTAGCAGGGGGGATTTCGGATGGGAAAGCTCTTCGCCGCTGACCACCGACAGTGCCATCATCCTCTCACCTCTCGGAAAAAATGAAAACGAAATCCCTCCCCAAAATGCAGCGGTGCGCTCTTGCTTTCCCAATTCTTTTTTTTCGGTTCTTTTGCCGAAAAAAAAAAACATTTTCATTTCTCGCCTGAGCAGAAATTTCAATGATTTCCCTTGCTCAGTGTGAAACGAACCAACAACTCAAACGAAACGAACGCGAACGCGCGCGCGAGAAAAACAAACTAGAATAGAATAGAACAAATTAACCTCTCCTTCCTCCCCACTGAAAATATAAAAAGCAGGGGGCCTAACCTTATCCTAACTATAAACAATAATCGAAACAACGAAAAATTTGAAATTAACAGCGAATGAGTAATACCTGAGCGATTTATTAAACCGATTGCACGACCAAGTCAGAAGCTGAGCGGCCCGACAAGAATCCACAAGTAGCAGGCACACGGAAAGATAAATAATTGCACAGATAATTGCTAGTACTCGGTACTTGGATCTAAAAATAGTCGGCAACTAAACGCGGAGACAATTGCAGGGCACTGGTGCAAAGTGGACGAACTGCCGGGCGGAATAACGAGGATCTGTGAGTAGAAATAATACATTACCCACCCTGCCCCCTTTATTCCGAATCCCGATCGCTGTCTGGGCGGAAAATCGAAATAACAAACTTCAGTCACCTCACGGTCTGCGTCACACACTCGGAAACTCGGGTACTCAGATACTCGGAAAAGGGGAACGAGAGTCGTGTGGCATGTGCCCTTTCCTCCTCTCGACTCGCACCTACAGTCAAGCTTCTATAACTTAAATTGGTGCAATACTTTCCCTATTACTATTCACATTCCAACGAATTACCTAGATCTACAATTCATATAAAACATAAATTCATTTAATGAGCAACATCATTCTTAAAAAGTCTTTAAAAGTGGAATAGTTTGCCATTTAAAAGTTACCATAGGAAAGTTTTCCGCACAAGAACTTTCGGCACCATAATAATTCTATCAAAACATTAGGCAAAGTGCCGAAATTGTTTCCAAACAATAAAATACGAAAATTTGGTCTTTTATTAATGTAGTTGCATCTATATAAAATTCTTATAATAATGATCAATTTACAAATTAAGAGATCTATTATGCAAATGCTTATAGCTTTCATATTAAGGTTTAAATTTAATTTCAATTGTTTTCAATTATTTTTGCTTTAAGATATTCGATTTATTAAATTAATGTCGAACATGTTTTTCAAATAGTTATTATATTAATTGAGTGCAATTGCCGCAAATGTAATGTTATAATTACTCTTTGGGGAAATAGCTTACATTTAATTAAGAAAAATTATTTCTAAATGAGGAAAAAAGTTTATTTTCCCATTGCCTATTTATGGAAGGCAACCTTTGGCTGAGAGTGGAAAACCCCACGGCATGTGTCATTTGCCGTGTTGTTACTGCCGCTACTGGTACCACACGGCGTATGCTTGATGGCGAATGGCGAATGTCGGATGGCGGACGGTGGATGGAGGAATCGGTGGCCAGCGGATGGATGAGTGGTGCACACTTTTTATAGCCAGCAATAGTCACACAAGCCGCACAATCAAGCGCTCGTCTCGGTGTTTATGTCAATTTGAATTTTGCATGCGGCCACTAAACTTGAATGTGCTGATGTGTCCTTTGTGTCGTTGTTATTGTGGCTGTTGTTGTTGTTGCCTTCGTCCTGAGTGGGCGGAGGTGGGCGGGGCACATACCGGAAGCTAGCACAAACTGCGCTTCATTGCAACTTTGTTTGTAAAGGGAGGAGGAAAACCGAAGGGGGAAAGCCTGTGGAAAGCGGCACTTGTCGAACGGAAACGGATATCCCGTGTGCTCTTTGCCTAGTTCGCCTCCGCGTCTCCTGTTTGTCATTTCATCAGCCTCGTCTTGAATCCTCCTCCCTTCCGACTTTCCATTCAGTGTCCTTGCATTGGTTGCACAGGAAATTTTAAATTGAATGTGCACCCCCCGGTTTGCCTGTTTGTTGCTTCTGTGGGTTTCCTTGTTTGCTCTGCTTTCTGGCTGTGTCCCGATTTCTTTCTCCGATTTCCCATCCCGCTGGCCGCTGGGTCAGATTTGTTGATTCAGAGGAGTCAAGGGAGGCGGCATGGTACAGAAAATATAACGAAATAGGGACGGGGCATGATTACTTGTATTTATTTATCCGGAAATTCATAGATTGTGATTACTTGTGTACCTTCAAGCCAAAATTGATCAGCAGCCGAAAGATTGGATTGCGGAAAAAGCAATCTGAGTTTTTTTTATTTATTATAGCAACTTGAATTAACTTACTTTAATATAAATAAATACAATTACAAATATAACATAAAAAGTAATCTAAAATGTATGTTCAAATTGTAGTTCTTTATTCATTATGTACTTTAACTTAACCATTGAAATGACAGGAAGACTAATTCATTATAAAACTTATTAGGAAAACTATTAATTATTAATTATTATTCAGAATGTACTTTAACTTAACCATTGAAATGACAGGGAAAATAATTCATTACAAAACTTATCAGGGGAACTGTTAACTATTAAGCACTTTTAAAGTTTCCATAACCTGTTCTTCGGATTAATCCCACCACACCCAACATATGTTGTACTAATATTCTATTCAGTGAGTTGGTAATGTTGTCTTCCATAAAGCTTCCGGATGAGGAAAATGCGAGGAGGCTGTTTGGGGAGTACATGTAGTAAGTGGAGAATAGGGGAATTGTTCCTCCGGTTGCTGGACCACTCCTGTTGCACATCCTGTCTCCTGGCTCAACTTGCCACCCGGCTGCTCGTGTGGCCTCCCCTGCTGGGCTTAGCTGCTCTTTCCGGTGGGCACAACTTGCATATTTGCCAAGATTTATGTCTGCTGTCAGCCGCACACACACACACTAAGTCACACAAGGCCTTATGTAACAGCTCCCAGGAGCAACCTAATTTCCGTTGCCGTTGCTGTTGCTGGTTAAACAAATTTCATCCTCTCATTGCACATCCTTTTGGGCCCCTCGTGAGTTTTCCAATCGGTGTCGCCTCGCAGCATGAGTCCTCCAAATTCCAAATTCCAAAAAATCCGAATTTCAAATTCCGAATTTCCCGATGAGTTGCACAACCAGAGAAACAGGAATCTGTGCCAAAATACTTCGCCCAACTGGCAGGACTCGCTAGTGTGGTCCTCGCCTCCCTGTTTTAGTGTTATTGTTATGCCTAGTTGCTGTTGTAATCTTTCGGTCCTCACACCCACCAACGCACATCCCATAAACACTTAACGTTGATGCTGATGTCGATTGCCGTTGTCTCCCCCGACTTTCTGGCTTATCGCGGCAATCCAGAAGCACCGGGATGTAGGATAGCCTCACTAAATATCCATCTCAATGTCCCTCCACACTTGAGGTTGAAATCGTAGTGGCAAGAACTCAAGAATAATGTGAGCATGGAAAGTAGATACATTTGATAGTTGATTCAGTTTTTTATGAACAGTAAAATAAAATATTTATGGGACAAACAAACTCAAGCATACTTGCTAAATAGTAAATGATACTTTAAAAGAGCAAATAAAATTTCTTATGAATTTTATAAATATTTCAGTGCACTATGTTTAGATCTTATTAACATTAAAACGCTTAATAATAAAATTGAAGATTTATCGTATACCCAAAGATTAATATATTGAGTTTGTAAATAGAAAAAATAAATTATATAAAGCCGCAAAAGGAGAAAAATGTGATTATTTTAATATTTAAATTGAAAAGTTTATTTGTAGTCCAATTATCGTCCAATTGATTAAGGCGCCAGTCTGCTTTGACCAATAATTCCCGAAATTGTCTCAAACTTATACATTTTCCTAAAAGTACTATAACTTTAACCGAAACTGTTGATGAAACCGAGTGAGGGTGCGGGGCCAGTGGTTTCCGTGGCTAAGAGTGTTGGTTGACTTGAAGCAGCCTCAAGTTGCTGTCGCTCGTTGTTCTCGTTATTCTTATTATGTCAGCCACCACCCGGCGCCACCCCCTCATAACGGGCATTTGCGTAAGTGTAAGTGCATATTCGTGTACGAGTGTGTGAGTGCATGTGTGTTGATTCTCAATCCTTTTGTATTTGGCACAACAATGAAAGTTGAACTCACACAGGGAAAGTGAATAGAAGGGGGAGGTGAAAGGAGGGAATGGGAGAGCCGCCACATGTGTATGAATATTTCATTATATATATCGGATTTCTAGGAGCCCCTGCCTCCTTCGATCCAGTTTCGCCATCAGCCAGCTGTGAGGACCCGTCAAGTCCTTTCCAAGTGCCTTTCGTTTGGCCTGGTTTGAAGTGGAATTGCGATTGAAGCGCATCAGTCGGGCTTCTCTAATTACTGAAGTGGAATTAAATTGTAATATAAATAACAAAAGATAAGCCGATTTATGCAAAGAGTTTCCTAGATATTTTACCACAGGCTATTATTTATTATTAGGATAAGGAAGATGAAGACTATATCCAATTTGATCGCTTTTACTTTGAAAGAAGTTTTCCTATGTAAAAAATTGAACTACGAAAAGGTAATTGAAGTACAATACCTTTTGTAATTTACAATATTAAAATTATTAGGAATATATGTATAAAGAACCCTTTCAATTACAAAAAACATAGCAAAAGCTATTATTTTTAGAAACCCTCATTTGGTTAACCATTTCCTATTTTTGAAGCACTGTACTTATGCTCCCCATTAGCATCCTGTATCTGCTCCATTTAAGGTCCGATTTGATGGGGGATATATCATCAATCAAAGCCGCTCGTGATGTGCATCATTTGCCTATCAATGTCCGAAGTTCCCCAAACAATTTGCCACCACCTCCGGCGACCGCAGGATTCCATCTCGAAACTGGAAACGCCTGTGGATTGTTTTTTTTTTGGCTGAGGGAAATGTTTTCATGTTTCGATTTCCGTCATTCGACAAACTTCCACCGGAGGTCAAGGAGAATCAGAGTTGACTCACGCAAGTATTTCTGATTCGTTCCGACATCTTTCCATCTCCGATCTCTGGACCGTAAAACACGCAAGATGAAAACAAATTAAATGCCTACGAAACGGAGGAGATATCGTAAATAATGGATTCCAAAAAACAAAAGCACAAATATGCTTGGCAATCAAAAGCAAATTAAAAAGAGCATTTAAAATTCATAATTTGCCAGCCAGGAAATTGAGATTGCTCAGTATTCTGACAGATGTCGAGATGGGGTTGCGTATGATGGATTTGAATTGCTTTTAGCTGGGAATTTCCCCAAGATTCAATGGCAAACGTTTAGGTCAAATTTGGAAAATTTGCCTGTCTTTATGGCTCTTTAAAAATGTACTATTTCCATTCCACTCTAATAATATACAATGTTTGTTTAGAAGTATGTCTTATATAAACGATAATTACACAGTTTGGTATAAATAATTCGAAATCAAATCATCAAACCTTTAAGAAATTAAAAAAAAAACGTAAAACCTTTAAAGTTTTATAAAGTCAGCAACGCCTTGTTGAAAATGCTTAATTCAAGGATAACCCATGTAAAACAGATAAATTGTTATAATACACAAGT